TAAGTCAAACTATTAAAAGTTCCTTACAGCCTCTACCACAACCCCCTGCTCTCTTGCTGTGCAAAGCAGTGTCATGTTTATCTCAGTCGAAGTCAGAGTCTTCAGTGCTTGCTGCTGCCAAATGTGGGCACTGAGAAAGAAGAACTAGAAGGAAGCTGACAGGCTACCTGTCGAGATTTGTGCTTCTCACACAGCATGGGTGATGCAAACTGGCTTCTTCTGGTTCTTCCACACTGCTGCAGCCGCAGCTTATACAACTCTCAGAATTCACGGCTTTATCTTCAAAAAGCTGAAACCTATATACTATACCACCCAAAAAGAATATCCCAAGTAAGATTCCTAGGAAGGCACAGATCTTGAAAGTTTGACTAGTGTCTTTGTTACATGCTGGTGCTGGTTATATTTTCAAAAAGTATCTAAAATACTGGGGTCTTTTTTTCTCTTTTTCTACTGAACTAAAAAAATATTCTAAGAGTTTTTATAGTATTAGTAAACAGTGCTTTTTTTCTTTCATTCTTTTAGAACTTAAAAATCTATTCTCATAGGGGCACCTGGGTGGCTGTTGTTAAGCATCTGCCTTCGACTCAGGTCATGATCCCAGGGTCCTGGGACCGGCCCCGCATCGGGCTGCCTGCTCAGCGGGAAGCCTGCTTCTCCCTCTCCCACTCCCCTTGCTTGTGTTCCCTCTCTCGCTGTGTCTCTCTCTGTCAAATAAATAAAAAAATCTTAAAAAAAAAAATCTATTCTCATAAAGGAAACACTTAATGGTTGTGCATATTTTGACAGTCAATAGAATTTTCACCCTAATTTACACTGTGAAATTCTGAAGTTTTTACTAATAAAGTATTTTCCATATTCATTCATTCAAATAAATATAAATTGTTCATCGCCTTCATGCAAAGCATTGTGACAGGCAAAAAAATTAAAGCTCAATCTTGAACCCATAGCTAAGCAGATGGTGGGAACGACTGTATGCAAATCAGCATAATACAAGGAGAAAAAACTCAGTGATATCAAAGCTTAAAAAAAAAAAAAAAAAAACCTAAACTAAAATTGGTGTGGAAACTCAAAGACTAAAGAATTTCCTCCCAGATAGGGAATCTGACGCAGCTTCACAGGAGAGGTGACATTTGATCTCGACCTTTTAAAAAAGCAGAAATGGAAACACGAGGGAGGGTGGAGACACCTGATGGAGGAAAGTCATTAAGGAGGAAAGAATTAAGTAATGGAGATAGGAGAGAAAGGGCAGGGGTAAGCAAGCTAGAGAAGGTGAGGGGGTAAAGGGTAAACGGAATAATACCGAGAAAGTACCAATGCCCTCTAACCTCTGGCAATCTTTCTCTGAACATAGGGAGCCAGGCAAGAATTAGCCAGTTAAAAAATAAGAGGGAGTTCTAAGTTTCAAGAAATCTTACAAGCTTATAGTGTAACAGAACCTGTCTTAATTGGCCCCCACGGAACAGATTTTCTAAGATTTAAAAATTCTCTCCATCCTCCTGATACACACAGCAGCTGACAGTGGAGCCCGGACACACGGGGGCCAGTGGACCTCGCCAGGCAAGTTTCATGCTGACCGAGATCTGGCTATACCTGTTCCTAAACGGTCTGAACCACTTAGACTCATTACTGACATTACAGAAGTTGATTAAAGAGTAATGACAGAAGTGAGGTGAAAAGTATCTATTTCCGTAAGAACTAAGTTGAATGTTCTGCAGAAAACTGGTAACAAGTAGTCCCTTACAAAGGGCTATTGAATCTGGTGCAGTGAGGTAATAGGAAAAAAAAGTCAATAGTAGTAATTAGCAATAGTAAGAGGAATTCCTGGATAAAATGGTAAAAAGAAAAAAACAGGAAGAGCCTGGGGTTTAGATTGCTTAATGTCTTCGTTCTTGCTCACTTCTAGAAGCTAACACTGGATAGCTAAGGCTTCCATGTCATGGGGATAAACTCCACACAGCACATCTGGCTTCACACTGGAACGTCATCTTATTTTGTTCTCTGACATTAATATTTCTGGTTCTAAATGCAACTAGAATTAATCACAAAGTCTAAATGCAGATCGAATAAATTCAATCAGCATCCAATCTCTAATTCTTTATTTGGGAGGCTAATACTTTTACCCCTAATTATATCCCATTTTTCTCTTAAATTAACTGGAACATTGGCCTGTGGGGCAGAGACTGGTGGTTGCCCAACCAAGCCCCTCATCCCCCTTCCTGACCAGCACAGACCTGAGTCACTAGATACGGCAGTGAGCGCACCTGAAGGACTAAATTCCTTCACCACTCTTACAGCCAGGAGTGACCATGAATGTGACTGTGTTCTGTCCAAGAAGATGTGAAGGCAAGTTGCTGGAGTGGTTTTATAGGAAGGCTCCTTAAAAAGGGCAACAGACAACTGGGGACATCTTTTTTCCATCCTTTTCCTTTCTGACATTCATGAGGTAACTCGCTGAAGGAAGGGTGCTGTCAAAGAAAGGAAAGCAAAAGGATGGGCACTTGAGTCCCTGAGGACACGGTCAACGAAGGAATGGCCACCTGGGGGCTTCCTACATGTGGGAAAAAAACCAACATAACAAAAAAAGAAAAAGAAAATCCTCTCTTGTTAAAGCCATTATTTTTTTTTTTTTAATTATTTTAGAGAGAGAGAGAGAGCATGCACGCACATGTGTAGGGGAAGAGGGGCAGAGAGAGAGGGAGAGCGAGAATCAAGCAGACTCCGCTGAGCGCAGAGCCAACGTGGGGCTCAATCTCATGACCCTGAGATCACTACATGAGCTGAAAGCAAGAGTCAGACGCTTAACTGACTGTGCCACCCAGGTGCCCCCTGAAGCTATTATTACTTTATATTTTCTACTCTATGCAATCATGGCTTTCCCTAACAGATATAAACTGTAAATCAGGTATCATATCCATAAACCAATTCTTTGCAATCCAATCTTTATGAGTTTTATCAGAAAATGATTAAAAGTAGTTCTCTATTTTATAATCTATCTTTTTATAATCTCTTTCCATGGCAAGGCAAGGGAGGAATGTTCTAATAGATATCTGAGGAAATCATGTTTTCAGAATTTGTCCAGGACTGCAAGCAATCTGCTTGCTACCAGAATGCTGAGTATTGCTGCCCAGATGAACCAAATGGGACACAGACACTCCAAAGGCATAGCCATGGGTAGAGGTAAAACTGTAGGGAAAGACGTTATTGAAAAAGGAGAAATGCATGAAAGAAAGTGTTCCTTGGAGTCTACTTTAGAACACATATTTTTCTCTTGGCTTTCATGCCAAATTAGTTAAAGAGAAATTTATTGAATGTTACCTTATGGATCTTTTGTGAAACATTATTTTAAAAGAGCATATTTTTTTTCTGAAGATTTCTCAAATGCAGAAGGAGCAAATGAAACTCAAAGATGAACGTTTTGGGGAAGGTTTAAAACAGGATCACATTGAGCTCGTCATGTCTTGCTGCCAAATCTCAGAATCCCAGGGTTTTGGCATAGTCTTTTGTACACCCTGAGCCTTGAGGCCCAGCTTACTATCATTCAGTCCCAGCTGACTTACTATTTGAATTTTAAAAGGAATTTCCCATGAAGAGTAATTTTTAACTTAGGAAGAATAAATTCTAAGTTGTCCATTCACAGAAACAATAGCATTTAATCATCCAAACCCCTTGACTGTTTGGATCACAAGTCAACAACAGGCAGACAGAAGAAAATGGCTATCCGGAAACTGATGGATTCTTTATGCTAAGGTTTTCTTTCAGATGCTAAGTTTGTATCTCTTGTACTTTTCAAGTCAAATTGGGGAAGAGTGGTATTTCACCAACTCACAGTCAATCCAGAAAACCTGACAAGCAGAATAAAATGTACCACATCCACTCAGCTGCATTTAACACCTCCACACAGTGCTTTGTAAGACTTAGGTTCTCCATGATGACTTGGTGAGCGTCCATGAGCTCAGCGACCTCAGGACTATGAACACATCCCCACTAGAAACTGACAATCCTTTTGGAATGTGGAAACCTCAGTTTTGACAATGTAACTCACTTCCCAGCCTTTCCCCCTCCCCAAAGAAATAGAAAGGTCGCAAGGACACAAAGGATTTAATGTTTTAATGAGGGAGATATAAATTTTTGAGAACTATATAAGAATAATTAATCCAAGGGATAATCAACTAAGTACTAGGGCACTCCAACCTCTCCCCAGCTTTACAAGGCAGGTATCTTCATCCCCAGTTACAGCAGAAGACGTGGCCTTAAGGCCGTCCCTGGGCTGCCACTGCCGTGCAGGGATGAAGCCAGGTTGACAGCAGGTCCATATGGCTCCAGAGCCCAATAGCCTTAACCACTCCGTCATGCTCTCTCCTTCCCTGAGAGAACCACATGCACAACTGGCTATGGCAAAAACAGCGATGCTAATCAATCATTACTCCTATCCATCAAACTGCCAAATTTGTGGAACATCATGAGTCAAGAAGCAGATCTCAGGAAATGGGGGTAGACAAGGTGCAGCCACAAAGACTCATGTAAGAGTACTACAGATGATGAGTATATTTAATACTACAAAAGAAAATTGATGACCTGCAGTTAAACAGGCAAATTCTATTTTTTTACTTCATTCCTTACAGAACACCAAAGAAAAATACATCCAGTTATTCATTTTTGAAAGTGATTTTTAGGAAGAGAATGAAAAGTCTCCAGCTAGGTCTCCTAAGTATTCTATTTGTTTCCTGTTTTCGAAACCAAAGGCTGCCTCCTCCTGCAAACTGCTCAAGCTCTTAAATTCAGAAGCCCCCGTATCAATGTCTGCACATTCTGGTTAAAAAGGTACAGGCTTTGGGGCTCCTGGGTGGCTCAGCTGTTAAGCATCTGCCTTCGGCTCAGGTCATGATCCCAGGGTCCTGGGATCGAGCCCCACATCGGGCTCCCTGCTCCGCGGGAAGCCTGCTTCTCCCTCTCCCGCTTCCCCCGCTTGCGTTCCCTCTTTCGCTGTGTCTCTCTCTGTCAAATAAATAAATAAAATCTTTAAAAAAAAAAAAAAGGAGCCAGCTGTGTGTGCATTTATGGCACACAGGCAATACCAACCCAACCAACCAAAAAGGCCAGGGGATCAGAAGTTTGGAGACCATGAGGCATGAACTGGTCCCCTACACCTATTTTCTGAATCTCTGCTTACACTAGGGATGTGCGATAGAAAAAGCACTTGACTAGCACTCAAGACACCCAGATTCAAGTCAGATGTCATCAGTAAGTAGTTGAGTAATGTTAAATCATTTTCATGTTTACACAGTCTTCTGTAAAATCAGGGGGAGTAATTATTGGTTCTCAAATTGTGGAGAAAGTAAAAGTCACCTGGGGAGCTCACTGACAATTCTCCCAAACACAGGCCTAAGACTCCATTTCAGTGGGTCCAGGAATCTGCATTTCAACAAATATCCTAGGGGACTCTGATGCTGATGGGTCCCCAAGTTAGCATCACAGCAGCTGCTGAAATTGTGCGCTGGTGACCTCAGGAATCGTCTGCTTACCAGTGTCCCCCCAGTTGGCTGGACAGAATCTGAAGAGACGCAGATGGGAAGGGCTGCCATCCAGGACCAGGAACACTATATGTCTCTGAGGCTCGAGTCCCTGGACACCAACAGGAGATAATGCAACTTCCCCTGAAGCCGTTAGCTCTGCTTCCAAGGGTGGCCGTCCTCTCCTGGGCGTCAGCAGGTCACATCCCCGAGTGGTTCAAGCTACTGTGCTACAAACCCCCCATAGTACTACCTGGAACTGCTAGGGAAAATAATCAGTTACAACTCCTCCTGATTTCAAAGATAGGAGGCAAAGGATACCCTGATATGCCAATTAATCAATGAACCATAAAGGAAAGGATCACTTCCCTGGAGAGATCTCATTTTGTAGAAAAAAATGGTAGTTATCTATAAGATGCAAATACAAGACAGGAATTCCAATGAGAAAAAAAAAAAAAAAAGAGGCAGCACAGCACAGACAGACAGGCAGCCACAGACTAAATAATAAACATTCTGAGAATAGTGCCTGTGACATAGAAAGAGCTATTTAAATGGAAGTTACAAAGAAATCCATGCCATTATTCATCAGTGAGAACTTATAAGGTAATACCAAGAAAATGGCACAGAATATAAGAAACCAGGAGAAAAGGTAGAAATAATTCCTGATTCCTGCTCTCAGAATTGGTGAATTTTTCAGAGTATCAACATGTCTATTTATTTGAATTAGCTTAGGTGGCCCAGGAACTTCTGAACTTCCTCGATCTATTGTTAAGATCTCTAATCAATAATTTTCAGACACCACAAATTTATCTGCTTCTATTTCAATATTTAACATTTATTCTGTCCTCATGCTTCTAGCTTAAATAAAATCACCCAGCTTGTTTTAGTGATGATAGCATTTGCTAAAGCATTTTAAAAATGTTATTTTTTTGTTAACTATAATTCATGTAGAAAATTTTTCCCTAAATGAGTGTGTACAGCTGTGTATGTGTAAATAATGAGTGTGTATAGTGATGTGTTTTTTTTAGACACAATTTTCTTTCTTTCAAAAGTGCTAGGATAACTGCTGTACTTGATCAGTACTTGAATGATATTGCTATAAGTTCTCAGTTCAAAACTAATGTCATTAAGTGTTATTACATCATGAATACTTGACAGAACTTCTCCTTCTAGATTTTTTTTAAGTCTTATTCTTCGTGATGTTTTGGGCTGAGCTAGAATTTGAACCCAGGCCTACCTGATCGTAAACTCATTTCTTCCTTCTTTATTACACAGTATTTTAGAAGTTGAAAGGCGAAAATAATAAAACATAACAGGTTTACAAATCATATGGAAATCAGTTAATATCATTAAAAATTGCATAAAGAAGCACTGACAAAATTATAGACATTTATATACAAAATATCTCCTCACCAACATGTATGCTCGGGGCAATATAAAGGTTTGAGAAATAAGGATTTGTACTGACAAGAGCCAAATTCCATGTAAAAAATCAAGGAAAAAAAAAGGAATCAGAAAACCCTGTCTTCTTCCAATTACTAAAATTTATACTTATGAGACTGATAAAAGTCTGCAAGTAGCAATTATTAGTCGATTTTCAGTTTCTGAAAATATTTTATTAAATAACTGTTAAATATGATTTTTACAAAGCAAATTGCATAGAAAAAGGTAAAAATGTTTATGTTCCCAAAACTTTCTATGCCTTTTGTCCATCATCTTCTTGTCAGCTGCTCTTACTCAGAGAGAGCTGGTACGGAGGGACAGAGCTGAGATGTCCCAGTTTTATTTCTATCAGGCAGGAAGGGCACACACCTTGCAGAGACTTAGCATGTCTCCAGGTAACAGCTGCCACACAGAGCTTGCTTCAAGGTTGGCTCACCTGTCTGGCGGCCATCAGTTTCAGGGAGGAGAATCTCACATGGCTCAGGAAGAGTTTAGAAGCTGAACAAGGTTTTCAAGACATTTTAAGTAATAGGCATTTAGAGGAGTTTCTTCTGAGTTTGAGAAAGCTGAGAGAGAAAAATAAGAGTATGGAAGAGTAAGTTTATTAAATTTAGTACTGTACTTAAGAACAGACAGAATTCATATTTATTTTTTATTTATAGTTTAGCCAAAAAGTATAAACAAAAATCAATACGCCTCCATAATGGCTGCCATTACCTATAACCCCAAATGAATGCCTTGCTTTCTATGCTACTATATCATTCCTCCGAATGCACAAATTCTAACATAACTACCTCTAGGAACTCATGGTCACAGTGAGAAACAAACCAAAAAAATCCACAAACTACTTATAAAAAATCAGACTATAAAAGCACAAATTAATAACCAACAGATTTAGTACAGTACAAGAAAGACACAGTAGAGCTCCTTAGCATAAAAAGTGCTCAAAGAATAATGCTCACTGAAAACCGGTCACTTAAAATGAAAAATGAACTGTGAAAAAAAGACCCTGCCTCCTATCATGATCACATCACAGGGCTGAGAGGATAGAAGGGCAACTCGATCTATTCACGGAAGACTGTAATTCAACTCCCTGATGTTAGATCAAAGTTTTCTGTTCAAGGTCAATTCTAATTGGGCCCAGTTCTTATCACCTCAGAACACATTACAGCACGGTGGTAGCCACTGGCAAAGGAAGTTTAGTGCATGAAAAAGAAAATGAACTGGAGAAAGATCAAAGACATGTTTTAAGAAACTATATCTCAAACCTTCATCTACCAAAACAATTTATTATTTAAAAAGGTGACATAATGAAAAGCATGGACCAGATATCAGCACATTTTTATAATGTTTCAATAAAAAAGCTTCTCAAACATCAATGTAGAAAACTGTCTTCTTGTTGTGAACTATCCAAACAATTCATTAATCAGAGAATTCACTTAATAGCTTCCAAGTTTAAGTGTAATCTCTTCCATAATAAAACTTACTTTTCTTTGCTAAGGAATATGCTTCATCCACTCTTCTTTTTATTGATGGATTTTTCAAAGTTGTTTTTGCCTGCAGATAACACAGAGCAATCCATTAATTAGATTTATTCCCATAGGCTATGGATCAGGTACTACAATATTTATGCGGCCCCTGCTGACCACAGCCCTAAGCAGAATATTACCAAGTATAACGATGGATCCAGGGAATTAGGAATGGGCATATCCCACTGTGCCATCGCCCACATCCCTCCCTCCCTAACTCGCTTCTTTCTCTGCAGCTCCGTGTGCTTCTTTCCCTGCCCTTCCCTTGGCCCCTTCTCCCCTAATATCAAGTCTTAAAGGAAGACTCAGTCCTGGTTTCCATATTTCACATTCCCTCAAACCCCAGATTTCCGACAAAGTATAACAAACAGTACCGGTTGGTCAACGAATATTCACTAATAAGTAACTGCAAAGTGTCAGCTCCTGTGCTAAGCCCTAGGGGTACACGGTGAAGCGACTGCGCTGCCTCTGGCCTCGTGCACACGGCTGCCGCCCGGGGGGGACGAGCAGCACACAAGGGACGAACGGCCAAGAACACCATTCGGGGATGGCGTGCATCCTAACACCGGCTGGCACTTGCCGCTCTTTAATTGCTAGATATACAAGGGCACTTCTCTCAGGAATGAGATGTCTGCAATGAAGGAGAAGCCCAAAGGCCAGAGAGAGCAAGTGCAAGTCGGCACCTGCTGATGGCTCCCTCGGGGCTGGCCCTGGGCTGCAGCCTCACAAGAACCAGGTTTTCTCGAAACTCAGTAACGGCACATGCTAGACAAAGAGGAATCACACAGCTGGATAAAACTTCATTATCTGGTTTTGTTTCAGGATGCATTTTTCCTTAATACATCTTTTAGCAGAAACGATCTATACTAACATTAAACCGATATGCCAAATCAATTTATATTGACAGGGAAAATTCACCCAAAAGAGACACCCTTCTGAAATGAGACATCCTGTTGATTAAATGAAAAAGATTTCAAGTGATGGCTCATTAACTGTAAAAATGCACAAGGCAACAATGTCTTTGAGTTCATTTTTTCTCTCTTGCTGATAGTCCTCCGGCATCCCTGGCTGCAGCCTCGGAGCCTTGGTGTTTGCCCCCGGCTATAACAAGGACTTTAAAAACTGACCTTTTGATAATTGTGAATCAGAGCCCAAAGCGCAGCTGCTCCAATCCTCTGAGCATTTTGACTCTCGCTTTCCAGACAGGCAGCTAGCACACCAATGACTTTTTCTAATAATAAACACATTAGAAAAAAAAGTTCAGTCCCAGACATTACAATATATCCTGATCCTGGACTAGTCAGATACTCCCTTTTTCCCCACCAGAATACATACAAAGTTGGTATCACCAGACTAGAGCAAAAACAATATTGTATACCATGCATGGGAGGATAACCTCAAAACAAACTATTTTCACGACAGGCATAGAATAGTCAGGGAAGCTGTGGCAGCCTAATTTTTTTGGCCCTAATTCAACAACAGCACATTCATTTAAACAACAATAGTGCAGAAGTAATTACACAAAGAGTTGTATAAATGAGCTGTTCTTTGGTGTGCAGGAAAACAGTTTTGCTCTTATGATAAATTATAAAGACTATTATAAGAACATCAATAGCATGGGTTACTATATAAAACAATAATCAAGAAATATGAAATTAGGTAACCCTTTTAAAATAGGACTAAACATTTTGGAGAAATGTTTTTGTGTATGTGTATGTCAGAGGAAAAAGTGATTTAAAGGCACATCAATACATGAAGATATGTCCCCTTTTTGCAAAGCTAGCCAGAGTATGAAATCAAGACTTACAAATTATCTGCAGCAGTCTACTCATTTTAAGTAAAGATGCAAAGAAGTCCAGTCCCAAGTAAACTGTCAGGGTGTTTCAGACCAATATATGAACCTATCTTATTACTTATTTTTATATATCATTAAATTGTATCAAATTATTTCTCCTCTAAAATGTGTGTTTAAAAACATGTAGCATTCTTAAGGGTTGGTAATGGGAACTCTCTCTGTATGTCTAACCACTCCCCACTCCACTGGATGCATCTAATTACACTGTAACCTGGTTGAGGGCAAAGTGCGTGTCTGCTCACTGATGAATATTCCAACCACAGTGCCAGTTTATTTTAGGGGCTCAATAAATACCAGCTGGGCAAAAGATTCCATAATTAAAGCAACAAAAATGCTGTTTCAGTAATTCTATGTAGTTTTTAAAGAAATTTTAAGGAATTTTAAATTTTTTACAGGAAAAAAAAAAAAGAAAGAAAGAAAGCTGCTCCATAAAGTAACTTCTGTACAGTGGAGGGACAGTGTGGAAGGAACACGTGGGTGCTGAACCTTCCTGACAACTAGCCCCTACTCCTTACCACCTCCTCTGCCTTCCCTAGTTTTCCCTTGCTTTTCCTGTCCCCTAACTTTCCCACAATGAGCCTATATAAATAGTTACCTGATGAAATTCGTTATGTGAGGTTGTAGGTGGCAGCTGGTACTCTTGGAACACATCACGAAATGAAAGGGTGGCTCCCACTTGTTTCTCTGAGTATCATCAAGTGATATTTTTATATAGAGTACTAAACACTCAGAACATACAACCCATAAGCTAAGTAAGTTTATAATAACTCCCTCGACTAGATACTATCTCTTAAGCATTTTTTTTAAAGATTTTATTTATTTGAGAGAGAGAGTGAGAGTAAGAGTGAGAGAGAGCACAAGCAGGGCAAGGGGCAGAGGGAGAAGCAGACTCCCCACTGAGCGGGGAGTCTGATGTGGGGCTCGATCCCACGACCCTGGGATCATGACCTGGGCCAAAGGCAGATGCTTAACCGCTGACCCACCCAGGTGCCCTTCTTAAGCGTTTTTAATAAAATACATATATAGATCAATTAATGTGGTCCCTAATGATGATGCAACTGGATCAATTTAAAAAAAAAAAAACTGTGAAATATAGCATGTATAGCAAAAAAGGCACATTAAACATTTTTTTTTTTTTTTAAAGATTTTATTTATTCATGAGAGAGAGAGAGAGAGAGAGAGAGGCAGAGGGCGAAGCAGGCTCCCAAGGAGCAGGGAGCCCGATGCGGGACTCGATCCCAGGACGCTGGGATCATGACCCGAGCCGAAGGCAGACGCTTAACCATCTGAGCCACCCAGGTGCCCCGGCACATTAAACATTTTTAAGTTTTACTAATAGGCTGTCCATCAACAGATGAAAGGATAAAGAAGGTGTGTGTTTGTGTGTGTGTGCGCGCGCGTGTGTGTGTAATGGAATATTATGCAGCCATCAAAAAAACCAAAAACGAAATCTTGCCATTTGCAACGACGTGGATGGAACTAGAGGGTATTATGCTAAATGAAATAAGTCAATCAGAGAAAGACAAGTATCATATGATCTCACTGATATGAGGAATTTGAGAAACAAGACAGAGGATCATAAGGGAAGAGAGGAAAAAAATGAAACAAGACAAAACCAGAGAGGGAGACAAACCTTTAAGAGATTCTTAATCACAGGAAATAAACTGGGGGTTGCTAGAGGGGAGAGGGGTGGGGGGGATGAGGTAACTGAGTGATGGACACTGGGGAGGGTATGTGTTGTAATGAGCACTGGATATTATATAAGACTGATGACTCACAGACCTGTACCCCTGAAATAAATAATACATTATATGTTAATTAATTGAATTTAAATTTAAAAAATTTTTAAAGTTTAACAGGTATGAAGTGAGCACCCACATACACCTATAAATAACTTCAAAAGAATAGATAACAGTAAAATGTAGCTAGTAAGTAGGAAATGATGAGTTTTAAATACTTACTACCTTTCTTCTAATGTAATTGAGTTAATTACAAATTTAGGGATGTCATATGTGCTAGCTTGAAATCAGCTATATTGAGTATTTACACCATGAATATCAACAAATCCAACAAACCAGAGTTGAATTAATGGTAAAGCTGAAAGAGGTTTGTTTTATGACTATATTTTGCATAAAGGTGAGAAATAGTTTTAACATTGTATTACAAATTAGATTTAATGACAATATATTGATTGGGAAAAGAGCTGATTGGGATACAATTTCATTTGTCAAATCATGATGAAACTGCAACCAAAGACTGGCTACAGATACAAGAGTTTTTTCAGCAAAAGTCTCCCATGTCATGCTCCCACGTTGGGTTACATATATATTTATAGAATTTGTTATTATTTCAGATCTTTTAATTTTTCACTTTCCTATCTTCTGCAAACATTCCAGGCTTATCACTTACTTATCTAAATATGGCATAAATAAATTTATCTTTAAATCTGTGTTTTATAATTCCAACACCGGAAGCCTAAGCAGATGAGTTGGTGTATTTCCCCTGCTGGTTCTGACTCATGTTGCCAGGGTTCCTGCTGGGCTTGGTCACATTTAACCATACCCTGGTTAATACTTCCGAAAACCTGTGGAGGTTCTCTGAGGCCCAGTATGTACTTGTCCTCCATCCATCGGAGTGGCACGATGCCTCTGCTAAGCACCCAGAGGCACTGTCCATCGAGGTTCGGCTCAAACCAAGGTCACAGGCCACTCAGGCTACACGCCTCTCGGGTACAGAGCTGTGAGGAGCAGTCTGTGGGCCCATTCTCACACTTATTTTTCTTTTCTTTATAATCACTTAGATAAGGGTTGGGGGACCAATTTAATTCTGATTCATCCTTCTCCTAAGAGGTTAGCTCTTTGGAGTTCCACGTTAATACAAACAAGATGGCCCATAAACTCCCCATCCTGGACACTCTTGACTGTTGTTCCCTGACTCCTTGGCATGACTGAACAAAAGTCGAGCATACAATGTTGGCAAATGTCCTTGAAACAAAAAATATACATAGTTCATATATATATTTTTGTGTCTCTCTAGCCACAAACTTCCAATCAAAATTGGCCTGGGAGTTTCCCACTATCTTTTCAGTTGATTTTTTTTTTTTTTAGGTTAATTTTGATATATTTTATCTAGCATAATTTTATTGTTTTCAGAGGAGTCCTTGCCTGAAATTACCAGAAACAAGGAATAAGCCCTCCCTGTGGATCCCCAAGTGGAAATGGGAGGCGGTGCCCCTGACATGCCTTCAAAGGTCCGCAAGAAATTGCACAGGAGCTGCCTCCTGTCCCTGCCTTGGAGGCCCCTGATCTCACATCTCTGGGGCTAAGGAAGCTCCTTCTGACCAGAAATTTGTCCAACTGCTTTAAGCTACGGAGGAAGAGACAGCATGGCTATTGCAAAGATATGCTAAAAATAAATCCAGAGGGAAAATGTAGACTTCTCCTTGAATTCCCGAAGGCCCATCCTTTTTCCAACTCTCAGTAATAAAACTGCACTGAGTAGTCCCAAAGAAAAACTTCTTCTGAGAACAAGGAGTAACTAACAGGTGACAGGCCTGGGGACACATACCTCACATGTGCTATCCCGCTGCCCCACAGGGTGGGCCTGTCATTAGCCTCACTCTACCCAAGCGAGGACGGGGCGCGCCCCGCGGCGCCTCACGGCAGCTACGGCACCGCACGGCGCCCCCACGGCACCGCACGGAGCCCCACGGCGGCCCACGGTGCCCCACGGCGCCTCACGGCACCCCCAAGGCAGCCCACAGTGCCCCACGGCGGCCCACGGCACCGCGCGGCGCCCCACGGCAGCCTGCAGTGTCAGTGGAGGAGCTACAGAAAAGCGGAGCTCAGATCCACAGTTCACTTCGCAAAGTTAAAAGCTGACCGAGCTTCTACAATCTCTCCCTGTTATTTCCAACAATTCCATAACTACCAGAGAGAATCACCACTGCATACACAGCAGGACGCATGCAGAATCATTGCCACTCACTTAGAAAACTCCATGTGTCATAGAAAAACACCGCTAAGAAAGATTAGGTAAAAAACATGAACAGAAAACAGAATTAATCTATCTGGAGCATCTACCATGTACCATAAATGGTACTAGACACTTCATGTGTGTTTATAAACTGATTTCTACCAAAACTCAGAAAGGAAGGATTATTTTACAGATGTAGAAACTGGACCCAGGGAAGCTGCCCCAGGTGATGCTCGAGTGAGCACATAAGGGTTGGCATCCAACACCAGGTGTGTGGAGGTCTAGAAGCCCACCTCTTTTTTTTCCCCCAAAACAATGCAATGTAACCTTATAAAGCCCCCTCCCTATTCACACTCTCCTCACAGAAACAGCACATGGTTGCAGAAACAGAGTTTTCCATTTCCCTCCTTCTGCTTCAAATTTTTTTCTGAATCCTCACCTCCATCTGTCCTTCATCTCAGAGAATGAGGTCTCTGTAAGGCTAATTTCACCATTTGGTCTTGGGTTCTGAATTCTCCTGCCTGCTCAGGATCTCTCTCAATCAGAGAGCTGAATACTCACTGAAGTGCTCACTAGTGACAGGCACAATTCCAGATGCTACAGATAAACATGAAGAAAAGAGACAAAAGCCTCTTGACCTCATAAGAGCTAATGTTCTAGTGTGGGCAGACTAGGAATAAACAGATACACGCTGAAAACATAGTATCTCAAATGTTGATAATGCTATGGAGAAAAATAAAACAGGCAGAGGAGATACTGAGTGAGCGGGAAGGAGAGGAAGCAGGAAGAAGAATGTAGGGACTATCATGTTGACAGGTGGGCCTGGAAAGGCTTCACTGAGACAGAATCTGCTCAGAGACCTAGAGGAGTGAGGGGAAGAGAGATGGGAGCAGTCAGGAGAGGCTGGGGAGCGCCCACTCCATGCTCCTCCTCCCTGCTACCTCCTGGATCCAGTGTAACCACCAGTGGCAAGACCTGTTAACCCCAAGAAGATTCCTGGCAGCCTGGAGGGCTGGCGCCACGTCTGGTTCACCTCTGAGGACAGGATCACACCTGCTGATCCTCTACCCTCCTACAGTGCCTTGAACACAGTGATGCCTAATAAATATCTGGCAAATTATTTATAAAACAATTTTGTGTTGTAATCTGAATGCAATACTCGAGGAATGACCACATGTATAAACAGATGCCTGAGTATGTGTGTGGTGTATAATGTGAATACTCACCATTAGCCAGGATCTTGGGCTTATTGGCAGGACTGAAGCAGATGTTGTGAAAGATAAGAAGTGGTATATAAGGGCTGCTCTTATGCTTGTATTTGCTCATTTCTGTAAGTAAGTCTAAACAGCCATCTAGCCTCAGGATCATTTGTTGCCCGTCTTCTCCAAATGATATATTCAGGAGTAACTTCAACCAAAGAATGGTCAGATTACTGAGATGCTTACTTCCTCCTTTTGGCAACGTTAGAGATAAAAAGTTCTGTAAGAAGTTACTCTGTGGGTAAATAGAGAGAATATTATTTTCTTCCTGAGTCTTTTCATTATTTTCCTTGTCCCTTGGAGACCAATTAGCTAGAATTCTGCTCTTCTTTTCCACAACTTTAATTCCTCCTTCCTCCTAACACCTACCTTCCAAATATTCCACCTATATTGTTTCCAGGTATAAGTGAACAAGTTAAGGGGAACAAAATAGTGCTCAAATTTTAGTTCTTACTAATTCTTTCTTGATAATGGATAAAGTAAATACATATAGTCAACTCTTAATTATTTAGGATGGATAATTCAATTTGGGGATTATTTCAGGCCTCCTGAGTTTTCTCTTTCTGTGTGCCTTCTGGCAATTTTGCTACTCATTAAAAGCTATCCTATGGGGAGGCAAAAGAAACAAAACCCAAATCAGTCTTGGATACCAGTTAAGAACTCTAGTAGTACTGAAGAGATCTGAATCTAAGCATTCTTAAAACTAAAAAAAAAATCTATGTGTACATTTTATATTCACTTTACCCTAACCGCTTATCTTCACAGATAATTTCTCATGGCTACATGCCATTCTAGAAAACTTAGAAATGAATACCAAAAATATCAGACAGATATTTTGATCAGGGTACAGAAATATGATCACTGAACTTTCATAAATGTCCAGAATATCTCTCATCTCTCTCCTGCTTAATAATCTATTCTGGCCTAGCTCTTGGGTTCTCCTGCACCTAAGTCAGGATGTTGGCTTGAATCTATAAGGTAAATTGAACACTTTTATATAGGACTCTGAGTCTAAAAATGAAATGATACGGACGTGGTAAATCCCTGTACTGTACACCTGAAACTAGTATTACCTTGTATATGTTAATTAACTGGAATTTAAATAAAAACTTAAAAAAATAAAAAAACAAAAATGAAATGAGCTACAGAAATATTAGCAACATAACCCAAGCAACAAGTAAACTGTAAAACGACATGCCCACTTTGCACTGTACTTGCCGTCACTCACAGCTACTTCTCATCGCTCAGTCCAAATTAATGCTTTTTAGATTCATCCCTTGCCTTTTCCGTTCAGCTAGACTCTGCCATGATATTGGAGATTTGGAGTTGACACTAGTGATAAAATATACGGCAGTGCCTTAAATTACAAATATGCTAGGGGCACTCCTTCTTTTTGCTAGAGCTACAGATGCTTTCAGACAATTTCTGTCCTAGACATGGTGGAGAGAAACCAGACACTCGAGAATCTCAGCTGTACGACAGTGCTGGCTACATTTTCTGACGCCTACAGATGAGCAATGAGAGGTATAACTATGGCGCCCAGGACTCAATATAACGAAGAGCAGGGGAAGGCTCAGGGGTTGCCTAATGAGAGCAGAGGAAAAACAATCGACTGACCGCACCTGAAACAGAGTCCAATGGAGCATATATCAAAATATGCTTGCGTACAGTAACATAGCCTGAGAGTGGAAGACACCTTCAAGATCATGTTGTTTAACCCAAGAAGTTTACAAATGAAGCTTAAGGAGAGAAGGTCTCCAGCTCAAAGTCACATGTCAGACCCGAGAGTAGCAGTCATTTGGGAGTTCCTATTCTACTTTACCCATGTGCTCTACAGGGAGGGGGCAGGAAGCCCTACCCCTGTCTGCGCTCCCCCACACACAGCCAGCTGGGCACGACTTCACATATATATCCAGCCTGTGCCAGCAAATAAACAGCTGCTTCTGGTGGGAGTGGTGGGCCCCTGATTTTCACCTTCTGCCAACTTACACAGGGTGAGTACTCCCGCCATGACTGATTTCAAGATAGCAATGTGATGTCAGTTGGGTCACAAAGTTCCTGAAAATCAGCAACGACACTCATGAGCCAGCCTGAGTTAGCTCCAACACACCGCTGAAAAGATCATTCCTTAGTCATAACTGCTATTTATTTGGAGACTGCAGTCAGAGTGGGGCTTTTTGGGGTGGATGGGGGGTGGGGAGCTGACACAGTAAAGGAAAAGGAGACTAAATTCTTAGGAATGCTGTCAACTTTCATACTTTGCCTTGGCTTCCATGTAAAAGAAACAGAAACAAACTACTATGTACTAGTAAATAATAGATAATGTGATCATATTCACATCTTAAAGGATCTTCCAAATTAGGGATTCTGTTCATACATATCTAAATAGAATCTCACTGAACATGTGTATTAGAATTTATTTAACTCATTCAATCCCTTGTGAAGTACCCTAGGTTAAAAGCAGTGAGAAGAAGTCAAGTTTTGGCAATGGAGTCCCAGAGGACTGATAACATCACCTATTATGTCATAGAGAAGTTAAGTCTAAGTGGGGAGAAGTGGTTGTGATTTCACACACGGTTTTGACAATGTAAACTGAACGGAAATTGTTACTACTCAATTTGGTCTACATAAAGACCAATACATTACTTTTATGATCTCAAATAAATGTAAGACAGCTGTCTTTCTAAACCCCTCATTTTTGAGAAAGATAAAATATAATCCAGAAGCTAAGAAGATAAACGAAAAGGAAATGGAATGATCATACTCTAGCTTGTCACTTTTCATGTGTCATCTATCTACTGGCTTTAAACAAAGTAAACCTTCTGAATCCTTTTACAATTTTTTAAAATACAATGTCTTGAAGTCATAATAATTTAATCCTAGAAATTGAGTTCTGGATTTTTCATACATTTTCTCAATTAGAAGGATTATTTTACTATCTTTTTCAAGATATGAAGGGGTGGCTCAGCCAGTTAAGAGTCTGACTCTTGATTTTAGCTCAGATTGTGATCTCAGGGTCGTGAGATCGAGCCCCACGTCATCAGGCTCCAAGCTCTGTGGGGAGTCTGCTTGAGATTCTCTCCCTCTCTTTCTGCTCCTCCCCTCACTGTCACGTGCACTCTCTCTCTAAAATAAATAAATAAGTCTTTTTAAAAAAAAGATACGAAGGAAAAAAAAAGAAGAAGAAGAAGATAGCAAGAGGGGAAGAATGAAGGGGGGTGGAAATCGGAGGGGGAGACGAACCATGAGAGATGATGGACTCTGAAAAACAAACTGAGGGTTCTAGAGGGGAGGGGGGTGGGGGGATGGGTTAGCCTGGTGATGGGTATTGAGGAGGGCACATTCTGCATGGAGCACTGGGTGTTATACACAAACACATGGAACACTACATCTAAAACTAATGATGTAATGTATGGGGATTAACATAACATAAAAAAAAAGATACGAAGGAGAGATTAAGTACTTACTTTCTGAATTATTCCTTTACAGTCATGAGATAAGGCCAGATTTGAAAGAAACATAAAAACCATCTGCTGAACGGCAGTGTTCTCAAGAGGCATCTGGGAAGCCAACTTCAGGATACACCCCATCAGAGATGTGGCAGGGGCCCCTCTATATGCAGCTTGAACCGGATACTGTCCACAACTTGACCAACAAAGAGAACTGCAACCTGAAAAAAAACCAGCCTATCACAATGTCTTCTTAGTTTCACTAGTTAAAAACTCTAAGTAGTGAAGCGTATCTGTCCATCAATGACTTACCCACTAACCTATGAACTGCAAATTGGCACTGAAGGCTACTGCTGATGTCTACATTCAGCCTAATGGATTTGCCATCCTCACTGAGGGTCTAATGATCTCAATGGGGCATATTAAAATACTAAGTTTATTTTCTTTTTAAAGAATAAAATATGCATAAGAAGTTTTTAAACAGTTCCTTAAAAAGACATCTAAATAAAGACCGTGTAGAAGAACAGAATTTTAGAAACTGGATATAACTTGGTCTAATGTCTTCATTTTACGGGAAGGAAAAAAAAGGGGGGACACAGTAATCCTGGGGCATGGGCAGATAAATGGTAGCAGCCATGTGTGCTAAGTAAGGGCACAGCCTCAGAGAAGCCTGTGACCTGCTCAGAGGGACACAGCTCATAAGCAGCCAGAACCAGCAGTGGTCAACTGGTTTTCCAGAGTCCAGTGTTTTCTCAGGAAATTAAACAACCATATGGATTTATCATGGGAGTAAAACCATCATAAAAGAATTAGAAATTCATTTTACTGTAGTGTCACATAAATCTGAAGTAAATTAACTTGTGAAAGTCCATGCAAGGAGGCCAGCTTATGTAGAACTAGATCAGAATCAAATACATTCTGCAAAATAAAGTCATAAAAGGCAAGTAAACACAAATAACATAGTGATCTTTCCTGTATTCACACCGTATAGCCGTATCCAAATAGCAAGGTTTCTATTAAATCCATTAAATGATCCTTGAAAACAAACCAGATAGGAAAACAAAAGGTTTCTTCCTCAATTTAGTAACCTAACCACAATCTCATATTTACATCAATTTTAAGTATAAAAGTAACATAGATTATAGTTTCAAAAGACTTAAAATATGTTTCTTTTGCTCAGTGTTTAGCAACTGATTTTTTTTTTCCCTGCTTACTTCCCTAAACCCTCAACTAAGGCGTGAAGGAGGGTGAAGAAGGACAAGGCGCAGATGCACCGGGCGGACGGTCTACTGCACTGGCCGTGCTGTTAGGGGTGGTGAGCTGGAGGACGCAGCCGCAGGAGACTCTCCAAGCAGAAGTAAGAAGGAGAAAGTCAGTGACAGAATGAAGACAAGGAAATTCTGTGCCATGGTGCACTCCATACACCACAGTGAAAGTTCAGGCATTAAGAACCTGAAAGTCTGTTTATGTCATCGGTTCCTGCTGGTGAAAGACAAGCTGAGTGAGCTCCACAAATGGACAGCCCAGAGCTGGGGTGGAGGCCCATGTCTGACCATCAAAGAATAAGCTACCCTAAGCACGTGGTAGTGACGAGATGGACTCCGAACTGTTTTGAGTTCCACTCCTTTCTCTGCATATCTTTCGACATCTGGAGAACCCAGCTGCTCAGCAGCTGGATGGTGGCTAGAAGAAAGCATGTGCACTTGCTGACCAGACCCTACATGTATGACCCCGAGTTTTCAAGGGGAAATGAATACCGCCAGCAATCCTACTTTACCTCCACAGTGGGTTTGCTTTCCCTCGGCTCAAACAGCTACTTCACACCTCCTCCTCTCTTCTCAAATCACCTCCACCCTCACCTTTGCTCACTCTTGGCTGCTGGGCTCTAACAATGCATGGCCCTTAGCAGCTTCTCAATAAAACACCTGTTAAAGGAATGAAAAGAGGTGTCCCAACGACATCAGTTGTCACAAGGTCAATTGTTTCCTGCTTCCCACCTTTCCAAACTTTCCAGTTTCCACCACGCCAGCTCCCACTCTAGAGTCTGTAAAAGTTTTAACCTTTACTTGGTTTTTAAGGTCTTACATCATAATTTTCACTCTCTCAATTTCCTATTAAATTCAATTTCCCACTGCCACACAACCAAGCAGGTTTCTCCCTCTCTATTCCATGAGCTGTCTAATGACTCTTCCTATCTCAACAGACACATACTGAAGTACCTTACAGGACCTATGAGAAAACTTCCCTCTAAACAACACACGCTCTGTAAGTAGAAGAAACACTTCAAAATAGGTATTTGTTTTTCCAGTCCACTTTAACAATATTATTATATAAAGTTAGTATTTTAGTGTATTCCTGAAAGGCAGTATTGGGATCTATTTACCATTTGGAAAATTTGCAGTATAGACACAAAGTAGCTGCAGGGCAATTTGCATCAGTGAATCATCCATCAAAAGCCAAGGCCAGAGAGAGTACAAGACAGGAACAAGCTGAGCTTCAAGGGCTGCTTCCTGTTGTGAAAAGGAAATACAGACAGCATTAGTCTGAATATATGAAAATATAAAAATTAAAATCAAGTAAAAAAACCAAACCGGTTATAACATAAGGAGACAAAAACTGAATTTGTCTTCGTTCTGGTTAGTGCAAGCTGGCATCAGAATCCTGCAGATGGATTCAGCACCTTGCCCAGGACTGCCCTGACCATGAGCCCAACCAGTCTCAGGAAGTCCCTTCAACACCGGGGTGGCCACAATACACAGCTTAGGTAAAAAAACATTAAAGAAACAGCTTCTGAACATGTAACTTAAGCAAGATGATGATACCTCACTACACTGAATAAACTCTTATACTCTAATAAACTCTAAATATTCTGATATGGTTAAGAAATGGAATTTTCTGGTTAAGTAAACATTCTGATCAGTTCTAAGTTCTCTCCTCTACCTTCTCTCTCCTCTGTATGTACGTGTGTGTATACTTGTCTGGTAAGTCTGGATAGATCAGAAGTAGTTTACTGTTTGTAAATAATTTGAATATAGTAAAATTTAGTTAAAACAATATGTTACATCAATAAATTCTTCAGTAATTTATAGTCTTTATTACAAAGATCAGTTACCCCCAAGACAATATTATGTATACAATCTGTTTGCAGTAAATGCAGCAATTGCTTAAGTGAACAGGAATTACCAGGCAATTTATAGACCCATGTGCTCACATGTGGGTATTTATATAAATACACATACCCTATCCAATTTTATGCAGCATTAATGGCAGAAGAGAGTGGGAAGTTATTCCCAGTGTTCAACCCTCTCCATAAGCTTTAAAGTCATTCCCAGTGTTATTCCCAAAGTTATCCACCCCTCCCCACTGTCCATAAGCTTGGAACAGAGTCCTATGATTATAGAGAAAACAGAAACAATTAGGTATAAGCTCTGTCTCTACTCTGTCATTCTGTTCACCTAGTTTATCTGTATTTCCATCCACTCATCCTTCCTGCCCAGAAGTGTGGAATAGGGTGTTCCTCTTTTGTTGGAGGTCAGAAAGTCCATCTGTGTTCTGAAACACGGCCTCCCCACCTCCTCCGGGATCTTTATCCATCAATTAGTTCTTCTCTTCCCGTCTCTTTAACGAGTCCCCAGTTTGCTCATTTCTGCTTATATTCAAGCAGTTTACATGTTAGGAGAAACCAACATACTGACTAACTACTTGTAATGCTATGTCCTAAATTATTAATGCTGCTGTTCACGACTAAGCTTCTAGAAAGAGTACTCTTATTGCTGTCACTTCCCATCTCTTATTGAATCCTCAGCTTACTTCAATTTATTTTCTGTCCTGATGGTGCTAGCAAAACCACCCTCAGCACTGTGGAATCTATTAAAGGTCTGTTCTTTCTTCATTTCCCTGCAGCTCTCTACCCAGGAACATCTTCAAACTCTCTCCAGCACTCCTTTCCCAGTTGTTTTCTGCCTCCTCTTAAATAGTTACAGTTTCCACAGATATTTTCATATATAGTCTCTTGGGAAATTTCAACAGTTTATACTGATAATTCCTAATACCCCCAACCTGTATCACCACTCAGAGCCCCAGACCCTTGTAATCTACTGATTACCAGTCCTTTCCCCCCTGGATGTCCCAAAGACACTTTACACTAACATGTGCAAACCCAAACATTATGCTCTCTCATGCCTACATTCTGCTCTGTTATGTGTACTTGCATTAAAGTAGAGCCTGGAAATCATTCTACATTTCTCTTTTCTCCTCAGTGTCTCCCCACTCTCCTTCCCTTCTCCACCTGCCCCAGCTGGGGTCTCATCATCTCCTGCCTACTACAGTCCCCCACCTCTAATCTTGCCTGCTGTTCATTTACCTCACAGCCACCACGATCTTCCCAGTATGGAAACTCTTTAATGTCCCATGTGTACAGATACTGGAGCGAGGTAGGCATGGGTGATTTGCTGAATTAACCACAAGAGTACCTTACAATTAGTACTAGGAGCATCTTATACTCCACAGGTAAGTTGGAACAGGAAAAGAAATTAAGAATCTTTGCCCCAGAGGACTATATTTATACTCAAGAGTCATCTAAATACTCTTCTTCGAATTTATTCCTTATTAAACAAGTTAGAAATGTAGAAATGCTTTGACTTATTGAGAGATTACACTATCATAGAAGGTTAATGTGATACAAATGTGAACACTAAATTTATAACTAGTACCCAGCTAGCATCTCATAAATCTGTATAAGCAGATCCTACCTGGAAAGTGTTCCAGGGTATTCCCAGTGTAAAGTGTCATGGATTAATATCAACTGCATCCACTCACAAGCACACTATGTAGCATAAGGGATCACAAATTTAGTAAATGACACCTCCATTTTGAGTAAAAAGTTCATACATTGGGAATTTCAGTGAAATGTATAAACACTTAATTCCCATCAAATTGTTTTGAAATGTAAATTGCTAGTAACATGTCTCGAACAAGTTAACATAGCCTAAGGAATATGTTCAAGACATTCATTTTCCAGATGTTTTTTCCAGTTTCATCCCAAGTAAAAGCAAAAAAAGGTAAGAACTTCTTTAAAAAGGAAGCTCCCGTAATGTATCTTTCTCTTACTCATTTGCATGGTATTTCTGTGGGAAAGCTAGCGCTTCAAAAGTGTTGTATCACTAGGACAAAGCAAATTAAAGAGTTCAAGACACTCTATCCTGTGTAACATCACTAACACAGTATTTTAAATGACAGCATCAACAGGGCGCCTGGGGGACTGGCTCAGTCAGTTGAGCAGCAAGCTCTTGGTTTTGGCTCAGGTCATGATCTCAGGGTCCTGGGACTGAGCCCTGTGCGGGGCTCCCTGCTTAGCAGGAAGTCTGCTTGAAATTCTTTCCCTCTGCCACCCCTCTCCCCCACGCACATGCATGCTCGCAAGCACGCGCTCTCTCTCTCTCTCTCTGGAATAAATAATTATTTTTTAAAAAATTACGAATGAGGGGCGCCTGGGTGGCTCAGTTGGTTAAGCCACTGCCTTCGGCTCAGGTCATGATCCTGGAGTCCCGGGATCGAGTCCCACATCGGGCTCCCTGCCCGGCGGGGAGTCTGCTTCTCCCTCTGACCCCCCCCCCCTTCATGTGCTTTCTCTCTCTCATTCAATAAATAAATAAAATCTTAAAAAAAAAAAAAAATACGAATGAGTGAATAAATAAATAAATAAATGACAGCATCAGTGCTCACAGACACAGCAAAACACCTCAGTGGTTCCCAGGCAGAGGGGCTGAGTCGAGGGGCACCGGGAGCCAGCAGAGCTGGAGGTGAGAAGCCTCCCAAGGTGAACAGGGCCATGCCCAGTGACAGCAGTAAGCATTTTCTACCCAAACAGGAGACACACTCCTCTTCTTTCCTTATGCTTACAGACACCGCCACTTATTTCCTGGACAGCTACCTGACAACTGCCTTTGAAAGAACATAACCATTCACTCCATCTTAGTAAAATACAACTGAAATGCATAACCATAGAGAAAGAAGCTCAAGTTTGCTTTAGCTTCCAGAAGTTTCAGTGATAAAGTTTAAAATGCTGACATAAACAAGAAATGCCATCAATGTTGAAGAATAACAAGGTATATCCATTTCTATGAATTAACACTGACTTTAAGGGCCAATCAACTGTGCATCTAAAAAATCTGAAGTTTTTCATGTTTCCTCCTATATTATCTCATATAAAAATTAAACTGTTTAATGGCAGCATTACTACCAAAATTTTGAAACATCATTCTACTTACTTTACATTCTTCATTTTGATAAAGACAGTTTCTTAGAAGCTGCATAGTAATGCTTAACTCTTTAATAAAACCGTCCTCCTGTTTAAAGAAAAAGCAGTTTAAAAATGTGAACACAATGGCATATTCCACTTTTTATATACAGCAATTCCTTCTGCTTTGGGTCACTTCACAATGCAGGTCCCAGGTACGCTCTCTGCACCTGACCACTGTTAACTGTAAGGGGACTGACAAGCTAATGATCTCTGAAAGACGACCATATCTCAAGAAGCGCATCTGCCATGAAAAAGTTATTTCTGGTCTATCAAGCATGGAGGAACTGAGATATATAATAGGCTCCATGTTTCATCTCAATAAAGTGAAGCAGGTACTGACTGGTTTTCAATCATATCAGGTGTTGGCTGACTTTCTGAATGATGAAGTAAAGAACCTTTGCCTAGAGAAGGAAAAGGAAAAGAGGCAAGAAAAGAAACTGACAAACATGTAACCCCCTGCAGCAATAAAATTATTACATAAGACTTTTTCTTGGTTTCTTATCAAATGCAAGAGAAAGCAGTTACTGCACAGGTCGCTGCTATAATGGCCTTAGTTATATACTTATATATGTATACTTACAAATTTACAAATACATATGCACTCATCTTCTAAATATGCCTGTAAGGCAGATTTCTTTTTAACAATTATTATTACCATCACTATTATATAAAAACTGTGTTAACTTGAGCTTACATGAGCATGTATTGTGAACATGAGTCCGGTAAACTCAATGCTAGAAAGAGACATTCAAAAGTTATGGAAGGAATAAACAGAGATTAGGAATACCAGCTCTACAACCACCCAGCTACTGGCCTTCTCAGTTCCTAGCTGTATGAGTGTGTTGGACTTAGTGTTCATGAGATAACAAATATGACATGCTCACAACACTGCCTGGTATACAGAAAAGCTCAGTAAGTTATATCTCATTCCTAGGGAATCCATGCTTGCTTTGAGGAAAATACCTTCTTTTGTAGTATAAACAATTTATCTGGTAAAATATCATACACACTTCAAAATGCTTATAATAACAAAAACATGTTAATACATAAATCTCATTTTAAGATCTTTAAGTGAAAATTAAGTCTCTCTGTCTCTCTCTCTCTCTCTCACACACACACACACACACAGACACACACAACCCCAAGCCCAAAATTGCTAATGCAGAAATCCCTTTATCTAACCTATACCTCTCTTCTAAATCAGGTACCCATTTGTACCAAATACTGATATCATTTATAAGTATAGGAAATTGGAGAGATGGTCCCTAGGTCACTCCTTTATCCACCCAGATGTTTGGAATTCAGAGTTACCTGTTTCTTTAGGGCTGCTTTCCCAGGCCTGAGAGAATCTAGGTTCAGTTGTGCATTAATGTGCTTCATCTGCTCCATGCAGCTGTCTATTAGATCAGCTAAAAGATAAAATTGGAAACAATTAAAAGAATATTCCATTCCCAAATAAGTTGAAATCACATATAACAAAGTCTCCAAAAAATAATGCTTTATATTTCTGACCAACTTCATTTTGATATTTTCAGTGAGAAATTAACAAATCAGAGAAAAGTAAAGAGAACTATAATGTTTAACAATTCCAATGTTTTCAATTTAGTATGATACTCCCAAAATCTGCTTTATGTTTTGAGGCATGCATAATTCGCTTTAATAGCAAATCACAATTGAAATTACTAGACATGATGTTGCTATTATTCTCTTTAACTCTAAGACCTGTGTTCCTGGATTACAGATGAAAAATCACAACACTCTAGAAGGGAAATTTATGTGAAAATACATGATCATCTAACACTGTTGTTACTACTATCAAAACTATGTGGGTTTTTTTTTCAACTATGCAATATGTGCTTGTGGTTACTAATATTTAATTATTATGAAACGGAGTGATGTGTTACTTCTTAAAGTTTCCCCAATAGGGGTGCCTGGGTGGCTTAGTCAGTTAAGTGTCCCACTCTTGATTTTGGTTCAGGTCATGATCTCAGGGTTGTGGGATTAGCCCCGCATCGGGCTCCATGCTCAGCATGGAGTCTCCTTGTCCCTCTCCCTCTGCTCCTCCCCTCGCTCATGCTCTCTCTCTCTCAAATAAAAAAGTAAAATAAAAAAAAAAGCTTCCCTAATATTTATATATTCTCTAGATTAAGAAGCATTACTCAAAAAATAATCTACATATATAACCTTTTCATTTTAAAAGTAATACATGTTTACTGTGTTTCTGTATGAGAAAAACTCTTTAGTCATGAGACTATAAGTTCTTTACACTTTGAATCCAAAGGAAATTAAAATAAACAATCAGTAAAATATATGAATTGACAATATGCCATAAAAGTTAATGAGTCATGTGGCTCACCTTTCAAAGCATGTTTCTGAGCCCTTCTACTGACAGCCAGAAGTGACATCAATGCATTTGCAGCAACTCTTTTCAGGACATCCTTGGAGGATTTTCCTTCATAGCACTGCAAAGAATATATATCAAATTGCCTTGAAGAAAACTTAATCCGGAGCAAAACCATTGTGAATAAAAGATGTGCTGTATTTAAAAGGTATTGCTAGGTTTCAACTACTCCATGAAATTCACTGGAACTTGATAAAATCATTAAGATTTGAGACTGAGAATGCTCTGTGTGAAAAGGAATGTAGAAGAAACTTACAATATGGAAAAGAGCAACAATCATTCTCAAAGGCTCATCATGTAAAGGAGAAACTGTGCACTTACTCAATTTCACCAGGGAATGTACGTACATATGTGTAACTTATTAAAAAGGGCCCTCAGAAAACTGATGAATAGGAAAACTGCCATCAAATTCCTCCTATCGGGGCGCCTGGGTGGCTCAGCCGGTTAAGCGTCTGCCTTCGGCTCAGGTCATGATCCCAGGGTCCTGGGATCGAGCCCCGCATCGGGCTCCCTGCTCCGCAGGAAGCATGCTTCTCCCTCTCCCACTCCCCCTGCTCGTGTTCCCTCTCTCGCTGTGTCTCTCTCTGTCAAATAAATAAATAAAATCTTTAAAAAAAAAAAAAATTCCTCCTATCTTCTTCTTGAGACACAGCCCCTCCCCCTCAATTTCCACCCAATATACCCCTGTACCTCAGGGGATGTGGTTCTTTCCATCCTGCGTTTCTACAGTCACATTTATCTGTTATATTACATGTTTTTCAAAAAAATATTATTTCTTAATTTTGTTGACTTATGTAATTTTTTTTTAAAAAAATCACTTGTAATTTTGAAAATACTAATATTTTGGTATGTTTCTTTCATATAGTTCATATTTGTAAGTTAAAAAATTTTTTATCAGAAAGTTCAAATATGTACAAGAGTGAAGGAAACAGAATAACATACTCTCTCTTTTTAAAAATTTTGGGCTGAACTATTTCAAGTAAATACTAGATATCATATAATGTCATATTCCAGTATACATGACCATAAAGCCATTATCATGCCTAACATATTTAATAATTTATTGGTATCAACCTAATATCCAGTCCAAATTCAGATTTTCTCTTTTGTCTCAAAAATGTCTCCTTATGGGGCGCCTGGGTGGCTCAGTCGTTAAGCGTCTGTCTTCGGCTCAGGTCATAATCCCAGGGTCCTGGGATCCAGCCCTGCATCGGGCTCCCTGCTCAGTGGGAAGCCTGTTTCTCTCTCTCCCTCTGCTGCTCCCCCTGCTTGTGCTCTCTCTCTCTCTCTGTGACAAATAAATAAATAAAAATTTTTTGAAAAATAAAAAAATTTTAAAAAGAGTATGTAAATGAAGATTACTTCTTAAGGCTGATAAATTAAGTACATTCACACAACAGTATAATTTTAAAAGTAGAATTTAAGAAATAGTTTTTACTTAATCCGAGTTAATGATAAAGAGTAGTCAGAAGAGGGGCGCCTGGGTGGCTCAGTCGCTTAAGCGTCTGCCCATGGCTCGGGTCATGGTCCCAGGGTCCTGGGATCGAGCCCCACGTCAGGCTCCCGGCTTGGCAGGAAGTCTGCTTCTCCCTCTCCCACTCCCCCTGCTTGTGTTCCCTCTCTCACTGTGTCTGTCTCTGTCAAATAAATAAAATCTTAAAAAAAAAAAAAAGTCTCCTTATGATTGGTTTATTGGAATCAGCACCCAATAAAGCCCTCACATCCTACCTGTGTATCTCCTAAATCTAGAGCACTGGCCATTTTCACACCTCCCAACCCACCTACCAGGGTTTTTCATTTCGTTCCCCTCATATTGTTGAGTTGTTGAATAAACCTGAGCAGTCATCCTACAGAATGCCCCACATCCTGGGTCTGTCTGCTTGCTTCCTTGTGATGATCTGAACTTGTCTTCTCTATTCTGTGTTTCTCATTTACTGGGTACTGTAGTTCCAAAGGCTTAAGTACATTCAGGTGAAATCTTTTGTGATAAGATTCTCACTTGGATATACACATAAAGTTTAATTACAATTTCAAAGGGTTCATAAATTCCAGTGTAAGAACTAGAAGTTCCTGGCGGGGAAATCGGAGGGGTAGACAAACCATGAGAGACGATGGACTCTGAAAAACAAACTGAGGGTTCTAGAGGGGAGGGGGGTGGGAGGATGGGTTAGCCTATTGGTGGGTATTGAGGAGGGCACGTTCTGCATGGAGCACTGGGTGTTATGCACAAACAATGAATCATGGAACACTACATCTCAAACTAATGATGTAATGTATGGGGATTAACATAACAATAAAAAATTAAAGAAAAAAAACTAGAAGTTCCTCATATGATTTCTAAATATTAGATATAATTCACATTCGTAATTTTTCCTTCTATCAATAATTTTCAATGATCCAGTTTTATAATATCACATTAAAATTAAGCTCAAAATGATACAGTTCCACATAAAATATAGTATAGCATACGCAGATGCTGACTGGCTGATACTTGACAATGTGACCATGGAGGAGCCTGCAGGGTTGGGGAGGCCCTTCCAGCCCCACCACCAGGGGCAGTGTGATTCCATCTTAAATACCTCCCTTAGGCTGCTGCCTCTATTTGGCCAATGAGTTAGATATTAAATGCCCAGACCCAGGGATGCTTGATAAAGATCACGCTAATGTGACCTTGAAGACGGTGGGGAAAAGGCGGAAAATTATTTAGGATAATGAATATGCTTGGAGTATAATCAGTATAGTTAACTATGAGCATCCTAATTTTGCCTATAAACTTAATCTTCACCACTAATAAGAAAACTGCTCCCCTATACACACCCTCACTGAACCTGCATATATTAACGTTTTGAGGAAAACCAAAATGATTTCATTGAAATATATTACTCATCTACTCTCTACAGCAATGAGGGAGAAAAAAAGAGATAAGAATTCTAGGGAAACAATTGTGCACATAAATGTCTTTTATTCCCTCATGAAATCTCACTGAAATGATAGAAATGGGATTAAACACCAAGACAGACAGACACACTCACTCACTCACACAAGTCTAGAAACTAGAAAGCAGATGGATGAATAGCAAATGCAGTAGCAGGCTTGAGAAGGCAGAATACCACCCCCGCCCATACAATGAATTGCAAACGGCTGAGGAAATTTAGCACCAGGTACCCCTGGAAGTGATAACAAAGGAGGATTATTTGAAAAATCTCTGAGAACCAGTTTGATGACCAGATTTTGCCCACGACCCACCAATCTCTGCATAGCCAAGCCACTCTTCCTCCCCACCCCTTGCAAGAAGCTGCAGATTTAGTCTCTGGAGAAGCTGAACTAAAGCGTTCTAAACTGGCAAAGAAGAGGCATATTTGTGGGTGAGGGTATTACACTGAGAACAGGAAGGATTAAGTGAAATGTGCAAACTGATTTCTAAGACCCCTGCTCTCTTCCTCCTACTTTGTGGCAAAACACTTGGCAGCTGGGTTTTCACCTCCAAGCAGGAGATCAGAAGATTCTTCTCTTGGGAACGTGACAAGCTCAAGAAGGCAGGCCACAAAAGGCGACGGCCAAATGCCCTTACATAGTACAGCTTTCAGTTGACAGGCTCCACTCTGATGCCCAGGGCTTCCAATCTGCTTCAGATCTCCCAGTTTCAAATGCAGCAGACAACCAAGATTACCAGATACGTGAGAAAAGCTCCTAACCAGAACGCAGAAACCAACATAAAGAGTAAAAAAGGAAGAAAAGAGAAATTATGTAAGAAGAAAACTTAGTAAGAGTTCCAAACACATAGAACTCACAAAGTAGAGAGGATGTCAGTTAAGTGAAGGAGGAGTTCAGATGGAAAGAACCATCACGAGGGGAACCTGTGTGTAGTCAGTTGAGCTTTCGACTCTTGGCTTTGGCTCAGGTCATGATCTCAAGGTCATGAGATTGAGCCCCATATCAGGCTCCACGCTCAGCACAGAGGATGTCTGAGATTCTCTCTCCATCTCCCCCTACCCCTCCCACTCCTGCTCTCTCTCACTCTCTAAAATAAATAAATAAATCTTTAAAAGAAAAAAAAAAAAAGAAGAACCCTCAAGAGAGCCCAGCACAATGGATTAAATAGACCCTACCTAGAAACTTCATCTGGAAAATATCAAATGCTGGAGACAGAAAAAAATTCTTAAAACTCCCAGGGGAGAGAAAAACCATAATGGCTTCAGCCAGAAATCATAATGGCTTCAGATTTTTCCACAGTAACATGAGAAGTTAAAGGGAAGAGACAAGGCCTTCTCAATTCTGAAGTGAATGACTTCTAATCTAGACTCCTCACTAGACTAAAATATAAATTTAATGTAAGGTTAGAAAAAGACTCAGATGTCTAGATCTCAAAAAAGCCTCTTATGCACCTTTACTCTGGAAGGTACCAGACAATAGACTCTATCCAAAGGAAGGCGGGAACCAAGAAAGGAGAACATGGGAGACATGAGATCGAAGGAAAAGCAGAGAGGTAAAGGAATTCCCCAGGAAGAAGGTGAATGGAGATCCTAGGATCACACTGGGCACCACGCAGGTAAGAAGGAACTGGGAGTGACTTCTTCCAGAACAGGAAGCTGACATAAGTTCTGTCATGTCTGAATATACTGAGAGGACATTCGATTGCTGGCAAAGAGCATGGAGGTTACCAGCGATAACAGAAAACTCAGCAAATTTAAAAATAATACAATAATTATCTCTAAGGAAACAGGAAGCTGTGAGGTTCAACTGTGTCCAGCATTTTCACAGACTGACCACCACATGCTGCCTCCTCTCTAGCCACCATGAAGATACAGGATAGCAGGGAAAGGAGATGGGAGCCCACTGTGGCCCAGGTAGGGCCGTGGGGCCCAGAAAGGGAACTCAAGTCTCATGTCCCAAAGCAGGAAGTCAACAGATAATGTTTAAAATGGAATAACCAAGGGGCGCCTGGGTGGCTCAGTCGTTAAGCATCTGCCTTCAGCTCAGGTCATGATCCCAGGGTCCTGGCATCGAGCCCCGCATTGGGCTCCCTGCTCAGCCAGGAGCCTGCTTCTCCCTCTCCCACTCACCCCTGCTTGTGTTTCCTCTGTAGCTGTCTTTCTCTCTGTGTCAAATAAATAAAATCTTTTAAAAAAAAAAATAAATGAATAAATAAAATGGAATAACCAAGATAGAGTAATACAAGCATGTTAGAGACATGGAAGGGAAACATAAAACAATCAACTAAAAGAGATACGAATAGTTGCCTCTAAGAAGAGGGAAATGAAGGAAAAAGACAGAAGTCTTCTACTTTGCATACGAAACTTATAAACCTGTTTGGCACTCTAAAATGCATACATTCAGAAAAAGGGATATGAAAGCCAAAAACTAAAAACAAACAAAAAAAGAAATAAACAGGATTAACATCTGGTAAATCCACCTACTGTTCAACATATACTGAAGGTTAGAGCAGAGGATTTAATTTCTACCATTTTCCATGCAGCACTTATTACAGACCGAAGAGTCGTTCCGAGCATCTGTGCACAGAGCAGGGGTACATGGCTCAAAGCACGAGAAGCCTGGGAGGCTAAGGTTCCATGTCAGATAGCTGAAGTGACAGGCAACTAGCCACTGGATGATGCAGACACACAAAAGAGGAGAAATAAATCAAGAGGATACAGAGCAAGAAACAGCATGTCTTTTTGCCAACCACAGGAAGAAAGAAAATCAGGACTCAATGTAATTTATTTAAATTTTATGCTCTTTTTGGATCTAATTCCTTCTATACATTAAGTGATCTAGGTCTTCTAGGTCAAGACTCTTTGCTTTCTTTCCAAAAGGCATGATATAAAGAACGGGGTTTTTAATTACAGTGAACATTCATTGACACAGCCGTTATCTCAAATAGATAAGCCTTTTCTCTCCAACGGATTTACTCTTGAACTTCACCATTCACTAAACACTCGTGCAAAATCTATCTCCTAAAATGTGAAATAAGAGTTTGTTGTTTCCTTCCATTACTATCCTTAGATATCAGACCAAATATAAGGAGCAGAATTAATTCAACATCTCAATTATGAGCAAAATCTATTACTTATATGTGTTTGCAAATGAATCAATACTCAATATGAGTATCTCACTAGGGAAGGCAAAATCCCCATTAAGTCAAAGGTGTTCATTATGTTATGGTCAACAGAAAATATGGTCTCTATGGCCAAAAGATATATATCATAGGACATATATGTCAAAAGACAGACTAGTTTCTAATAGAATATTTAAATCCTCAAACCTCCTTTAAATGGAATTATGAAAAAATAAACTTGCACATAATTTAAGATATAAATACCAAATGCAAACTTTCAATACGTATCCCCTATGGGAGAGTACAGTAAAGTAACCATTTAAAAGATTCTCTGTCAAGACCCCTTAATTGAAGTTACAACGTAACAATCTATCAGGAGGATGGAGTTTTAGGGCCAGTTTATACAAACTTAATACAATCCTCTCATTTTGCATTTGCATTTTAAGAACTGAATTACAAAAGGTTAAGTGATATGCTTAAGGTCACACATCTAATATTTCTGAGTAAGGTTTTATAGAGAATTGAAATAAACCTCTGAAGTCATCAATTTTAGTATACTCTTTCTTCTGACCAAAGACTGTACTTTCCTTTCCTTTGTATAAAACCTGGCACAAAACACAGCCTACATGCACGTATAGTAAGAAACATATGTAATTTATCATTATGTGTTGCTGGCTCATGTATTTGAATAACATTTTAATTCACATATTATCTTTATATAGGGCAGAACAAAGAAAACACAGCATTTGTAGTTTTAAAAAGCTCATTAATAAATGTCCCATCTCATGTGAGGCATACTTCTTCTCATTAGTATGTCACAGGGACACTTCCCTTCTTTACTTTCTTTGTCTTAAACTTGCTTGTGCCCTTCTAACAAATGTCACGTATTTATATTCTACTGTTTACGTGAACAAGAAGAGTATGATTTATTAGGAAAAACAGCTTATATAAGTGGTTAAAGTGTCCATATCCACACAGAATACTTTACATCTTTTATAATCTGGAGGAAATGGAGAGGAAAATTGGCTAGTCATTAGGAAAATCACTGACATACCCTGCGGCTCTAGGATACCTCGTTTTCTTTGGCCAAGGAGGTAACAGCAAAAGATTATAAATGATAGCTTTAATAATGACTATCATAAAACATTAAGGAAAAATAAGGAGCAAGGTAAATTTTAAGAATTCCCGTGGCACAGAATTGTTCCCACGCACATTTATTTTAATCTGGAGCATCAACCAACAGGGACTCACACCTACCACAAGCCTAATCACGATTCCTTGAACCAGCATGACCAACAAGCGAGAGAAAGCAGCTAGGAAATAAAACAGCTCTGGTTTGGCCTGGCTGGAGCTCTTTACATTTCACCTGGTCCAGGAGGACTGGCTCCAGGACTCCTGGTCATGGCTATGGTCAAGGCTCCCAGAGCTACTGGCATTCCTGGCCTGGGCAGGGGAGAGGGGCAGGTGCACTCCCCTCACTGAGGGCAAGAAAAGGATGTGGGACTTCGGGAATCATTTACATTCCCTGAAGGGGAAAGTATGTCCTTAAGAGTGGTAAAATCGGTAAGATCGAAGGCCCCTTCCCTAGGGAAAAGAGCTCCACTAAAGCCAAAGTTAGGAGATTAATAATGCTTTTTGAATTGGAGGAAGACCACTGTAAAGGTGTGAATTTGAGTTTCCTCTTATAATATTCTTTGAAGTGCAAAATCAGACTCAGTTAATCAAATAAAGCCTGTTGTTCTGATGGGGACTGAGACAACTGGGACACTATCCAGCTTTGGTTTTAAGCTATGAAGAGCTGAGTGGACTGAGGGAGGCTGTGGCCTCCCAAGAGTAAGTGACTTTGAGCAATGCTGTGAGGATCTTTTCCCCCTTGAGTTTCAGCTTCTGAAGGAGCTCCTGGAGACAGGAGAAAATGTCAGGGGACCCTTTATCAGTCTCCTTATCTTTGTTCTGAAAGTGACTGTAGTCTGTTGGGCAAAGGAGAGGGAGACAAAAAGCCCCCTGAGAGCTCTGAGCCCCACCTTCAGTGGGTAGGTTTGAGCTGGACCAGCAGCCGTCCTTGCCTCTATCAGCCTCGTCTGCTTTCCAACATGATGGGAACCGCTGCACACAAGGCACGAGTGGTCATGCCAGCAAGATCTGCACAGCCATAACTCCCACAGGCAGAAAAGGGGCAAAAGTCCCCAAACTCAAAGCAGCAAAGAGACAGCAACAAATCGGCAGACTGGAAAAACCTTCTGTCTTTATAAAATGTGGCTGGCTGACCAGGGGAATGGAAGCAAATCCGTCAAGGCACAAGTCTATTTCTTTTCCACCTTTCAGCAAGAAGATAAAAATCATAAACCATGATTATTAAAAAGAGAGATTCTTAATATTGAAAAATCTAGCAACTTCCTATTTGTAAAAATGACTACACAACTTAGGAAACACTTCAAGGTTTTTTTGGTTAATCTATTTATAAAATCACACTTTAGTGATTTTAGAATGTTTTTCAGTGAACAAAATTCTTGGTTCATATTTTAGGACTGCAAAAAGTAAGTTTATAAATTTATAAGGCAGCATGGTTTAGAAAGGGGGCATTTTCTCATAAATGTACCAACTAACTCCACCTACCTCTATAGACAAACCACCTTAAATATATGTAATTCACTTACATAAATCAAATGTATGTTTAGAGATGTAGACATGTCTTTAAAATGGCAAGACATTATGAATTATACCTTCATTCCTGCAATATAACCATTTTGGTCATACACGGCACACTACATTTTGGTAAACTGCTGGATTTAGATTTCTAATATTTCATTTTGAATTTTTATATCATAAACATTAAAAAAGCTAGTCAACATCAGAGGACCAGGACTGGAGAGGAGATGGTTAATTTAACTTTATATGCTTTTGTTTCATTTAAATGGTCATAATGAACATTAATTCAAATGATTGAAAAAAATTTTTATAAGGCCAAGACTGAAAGTTGATTCATTTAAATACTAAACAAAGTTTTTGAAAGGTCAAGAAATCACATACCTGAAGAATTACTTCATTAAGTCGTTCTAGAGATTTCTGATTTTCCTGAGTTTTATCAAGAAGTGAAGCCATTGATGGACGGTGGCATACATTTGCTTTATCCTGATCTTGGAGATGCCTTTTTGCTTCCTCAGTCAAGAGAACAGAAAGGAATTGCAGGCTGGCGGTAGATAACGCAGGGCATGTGGTAGACAAACCCACACATGTGCACAACATATCTGAGAGAGAGAATACTTTCTTTTTAAATGTTTGAAAATGTCTTCAAAATTAAAGAAGTGAATCAGATCAATTTGAGTAATTAAGTTTATAGCCTTTTTATTTCTAATGAAGTAAAGCTATCAATACTTTTAAGTATCACGAGAATAACTCTAGTGTTTAAAAGTAATTTAAACAGTCAATATTAAGACAACAGAATCAAGGAATCTATTTAATTCTCATTTTATTCTTTTTTATACGGGTTCTTTTTGATATGAAAGAGTGTTTTTGCGTATGTGTGTGTACAAATGCACATACACACGGGGTGCCTGGGTGGCTCAGTTGTTAAGCATCTGCCTTTGGCTCAGGTCATGATCCCAGGGTCCTGGGATTGAGCCCTGCATCAGCCCCGCATCGGGTCCCCTGCTCCACGGGAAGCCTGCTTCTCCCTCTCCCACTCCCCCTCCCCCTGCTTGTGTTCCCTCTCTCGCTGTGTCTCTGTCAAATAAATAAATAAAATCTTAAAAAAAAATGCACATACACACAATATTTGCTAAGACCCCAAATAAGAGGATTATATATAGATAAGTACTGATTCCCTCTGGGGTCTTTTTGGGATCCACAAAGTCTCTGGAGTTTTTAACTTTTTAATTTTTATTTCAGTGCTTACGAAACAAAATTTCATGTAACTACTCCGAATTATCTAGATCACCACTGCATAATTGTGTTTCTGTTTTCAAACAAGTTGATGCTAAACAGTACTTACAAGAGTTAGTATGCAGTGTTGGCATGGTGCAGAAACAAACGTTTCATGGTAGTTCAGAATACAGAACAAAAGTGGTTATACACAAATTTGCAAACATAACACAGATTAGAAAGAATAGGCAAGCCAACTCAAAAGACTCTACACTGAATCAGTCATTATTAATTTTCTGTTATGATCACTGATTTCATCAAAGAAACATTTGATGCATATTAATTTTATTAATTTGAGTACAACTGGTTTGTAATTTTGTTATGTTTTACTTTTATATCATTTGGAATTTATACTTCTGTAAGAGTTATAACCATAAGAATTTCTACCTAGATTTAGGCTAAAAGAAATTCTTATTTTCTTAAGTAACACAAGAAAAATAATTTAGTGAGAGTGGTGTTTCATGAGAATTATGATCATTTAAATGATGTCTAAATATGACTCAGGTCTGAGAAAAGACTGTTCTAGATAACACAAGTTACAAAGTGATCATAAGATGTTTTAAATATGTACGAGCATATGGGATGGAAACTAAAAACAAACAAAAACAACTCCATGATAAGGAATAGCAACAATCATTTTTATTAGTTATGTTTTCATAAACATTACTATTATCAAAGCTAGCTGTTTATGTAGTAACTTATTTCTGATTAGCATCATATTATATAAACTGTGTGTGCGTTTTGAATAAGGACACAGTAAACTCAGAAAGATTCTGAATTCTTATTTCATCACTAGGGAAAGTGTCAGGTAAACAGGCTTAAAGCAGGGACCAGCAAACTTTTTCTGCAAAGGGTCAGAGAAGAAATGAGTATTGTACGCTTTCCAGGTCGTAGGCCTTTGTCACAGCTATTCATCCCGACCACTGTAGCAGGGACGCAGCCGTAGGCAACATGTAAATGAGGACAGGTGGCAGGGTTCCAACACAATCTTATTTACCAAAACAAGCAGCGGGCCACATCTGACCACTTGGCTTAGGTGTCCCACATTAGTACCGTGCTTTATGTTAGCAGTGACTCAGGTGGTAAACTAAATTTCCCCACAATGGATGTAAGAAAATCTCAATTAGTCAATCTCTTTCAGTTTTAATCTCTTTTAACAAAATAATGATTTCTAAACAAACGGACACTTTTCTTCTTAGGTAAACTCAGAACTCCTATCTTCCAGATAACAAACAATTTTGCTTCTTACTGAACATGTATTTCTCCATAAAACTTACTTCAACACTACCACTCTGGTTACAAAATGTACCATCCATCTAAATCTATAGAATGACCAAATGATAAACTAAAATGTGAAAAAAACAAGTTGACTGAATTAGTGGTAACTTGGAAGCTTAAAAGAACTCAATTTTGAATACATTTAAACTAGCCATTTTTAAAAAGTAACATAAATGTTATTTATATGCATTTATGTTTAAAAAAAGTCTTCTTGCTATGGTAAAATTTGAAAGAGACCTTATGAAAAATTAGTAGGTATTTTAAAAAAATTTGTTTATGCTAGTTACTTATATGGAAAATATCTTATAAAAATACTTAACTATACTACACTCTTAACCATTTCTGTACTATAAGAAAATCCTTGTCTTGACACAAGACACTATTTTTATTATAAGTTTCCATGTTATCATATATACAGAATTTTAGGTGCAGGTTTACCCACTTACAGTGCATATATGTCAGGAAAGAGACTGGTTTCTACGTCAACAAAAGGAAAATCTTTCTCATTGTTTTATAATCATGTCACATCACATGTCTCTTCATAATACCACAGGATTTTCTTAACTTGTTTTTATAGTTTTTTGAACTGGGTTTCAATTTTTCAAAAATGCATTTTTGAGGCTCCTCAAGAGCACTCCAAATTTCTCAAAGTAAATACCTGGTTTCTCTTTCAAATGCTATGCCGTAATTACTTAATTTTAAGAAAAAAATATATAAAAATTGTAAATAATGATTATCTGAATTTTCATTAGCAGAAAGATCCACAGCCTAGGGAGAGTATCTTCTTACCGATCACCGCCGTCCAGTGCTTGGCCAGACCTGCTGTCACAGACGGGAGAGAGGCAATAGCAGCTTTCCTCAGGAGTGTAGCCAGAAGGTTAAATAAATGTGTCCACGTGTGATAAAAAGCCGACATCAACTCTACATCTATGACATTAATGAAAACAATTCAAGTTATTAATACAAAGCTCACCAGATACTTCATTACACTTAAGAGGCATGCACCTGTTAGACGAAAACAAATGTAATTCAGCATGATCCAAAATTTATTTTAATTAACTTTTTCACTGCTTCTTAAAGTTCTCTCTCATCTACCCCCTACATAAAGACAGATACACACTCATGCATCCTCCCCTCATTAACACATTTAGTAACAATTCAGAAGGTATGACAAGTCATAACCTAGGAAACACACACTGTGCATACTGTAAAAGCATGGCATTGTTTGTGCTACTTTTAATAAAGTTTCTCCTGTTGTCTTTATCCTCTTTATGCAGGGGTGAAAGAAGAAAGCCCAATGTGCCAAGGTCATGGCAGAGAAGAAAGGAGAATTTCATTGAACAACCAAGAGTACTGCCCCTCAGTGAAAACATGACACTAAAGAGGATTCTGCACCTTTGCCTGTGGTTGAGAAAACAGCAATTAACCTTCTATCGTAAGGATGGCTTTTCCCTTCTCTCCACGTGGCAAAGCGGGGTTCGGGAGAAGCAGTAATCCTAGGACTATCTTCTCTGACCACACCACCAGTACTATCTGGCAGCTTTTGCCAAACTCTGTTACCAAGCAAACTAAGGACTTCCATTTCAGGGTTCTTTTGGAAATGGCATATTCCAGGAGTTCGGATTATAGCAATCCTTGGTGTGTGTCTCAACCATTTTGTCATTCTCAGCTCTATAAGGAGTCTTTTCAGACATATGTTTCCTCCTCATCATCCCCATGAAGTTTTAATTCCATAGATTCTGTATATCTATATATCTGAATACAGATTCAGTATATCTGTACTTTACGCATAAAAAGAATTAGGTATAAAGCTTACTGATTTTAGTCAAGATAGCCAAATAAAATATTTAAGTTAAAAGTTAAAATTAAAAATTGAAAAGCAATTAACATTTAACTTAACTTTATAACTACTTTTGCTAAATAACTTTCAATATGGTTTACTTGCTCCTATAAAATGTATTGAATTACATATGAAAATTAGCAAATCATATAAATATATACTAGAAAGATAATCAATATTTTATAAAACCATTCACAACTACTTTTCCAGAAAAATTTTTAAAACTCATTTCTTAAAAAATTGTTACTGAACTTTTACCTTTTGCTAGATATGAGAAAATGACTTCTAACTTAACCAGCTGCCAAACATATACTCTGGTATCAGTGACATTTTTTACTTTATTTTCAGCAATTGACGTAATTAATGATGGGCCAATTAACTTACATAATAATAAAACATATACTATTTGTATTTAATTCTCAAAGCCCAAGTCACACACAAAAGCAAGAGAATCAATTAAAAGAACAATCCACAAGTCAGCCAATGACAATCAAGACATGATATGACTTTGGGATATCTGGCCATATGACTTTGGGATCAAGTGTTGAATCAAAGTCCTCCAGTCACAACCATCTATACACTATAGTTTTTAGCAATGATATTTATCTCCTGTTTATCTTCTCTGAGCTCAATATCAGTGCCTCCCAAGTGATATCTAAGAAACCCAACAAGAGAAATTAAATACTAAGGAATAAGATTTTATTGGGTAGAAATGAGCTCTGAAGGGCCACAAACCATTGTAACAGCTAAGATTTTTTTCCCCCACCCCTTTCCCCCAAGATTCAATTTTTGTTTCTTGAGAGGTGATATCACCCTCATAGTGAATGCATGGTCTATCCTGATTTGCTTAGTTAGGACATCACTACCACCTGTAAAATTTCCAAGTAAAGAATTACTATTCTTCTAGCACCAGAATATTTTAACACTAATGAGACACTGAGGACTAGATTTGCTGGCATCATAAAACATTTCACTCACCTAAAACCAAACAAATCTATAAAATTCAAAAACCTAAGTAATAATTAACATGCAAAGAGCCATTTAGCAATAGCCAAATTATCAATTACTTCATTATAAAATCCTTTAATTATTGTATTTTAATTCTGTTAAAGATTCTATATTGTTTTAATTTTCTCTTCTATTAAGTGCTCTAATGCAACTTTTCATCAGAGTGTATTTTTCAATAATTTAGGACTTTATCAAAATGTTTGATATTATATGCTACACTTACTGATACTTGTTATTGCAAATAAGTTATTAGTAGGTCATTTGGCTGTACCCATAGCTTATAAGAATAATTACTACCTGAAACTCACTGTACTTGCTAATATTACATACAGAACTTTCCCCTCATTTAAACTGACAGCACAGGGGATATTCTTTCACTATACTACATATTTGTCTCAAATGGTTTCCTGGAACCACTTAAAAGATCCAAACTATAAAACACATTATAAAAGCCTTCCAAAATATTGGCAAAGCACAACATAAAATTTAACCTTGAAGTGAGTATCTGGTGCAGAGTAAGACTTTTTTCCTCAATATCATTTGCTTCCATCCTAAACTTAAAGAAATAAAGCTTACCTAAGACATCTTTGGTGCATATGGTGAGGACCCCAATGATGTTTGTGATAAGAGGTTTCAGAAGCTCATCCTGAATCACAAGGTCGGGATCTACCAATAAACATGACTGCAGAAGCCTGGACAAAGATGACAGGTATTCTAGGAGAAAGGATACCTATTTGAAAAAAGAGATAAAGGAAAACAAAACATATTATATGAAAAGTCTAGCTCAGTGATATTTCAGCTTTCTATGCATTATAAGTTACTTTCTTTGTAATGTATGTTAATAAAAAACTAAAAATATTAATCATAATTTTTAAAGATCTAAAAGGAATGCATAGCACAAAGTATTCTCATAAACATGCCATTAATGACCACATTAACACTGTCAAGTATAATAATACCAAACAAAGCAGTATTTTCAAAGTCAAATTTCAAATTCCATTTAGAGAAAGAACACCTTTATAGTTTTTAAGTAGCTAAACTGTGGAATCAATATATTCTGAAAGTAGAAAGGGGCATTCCAATGCCACATATCATACAATTTTATAAAGAAAGATTATAAAATACTCTTCAACACATCTCCTATCAGGTAAAATGCAAGTTTGTAACATTTAATTTCCTTATTGCTATGAAGTCTTTTTTGTTGCCTTTGTACTCTACTGATTGCAGTTACAGCAAGTCTGACTCTGATGCATGAAGTGTTACCAGAAACAGATAAGCATGGAAGGTGAGACCAACGAGAAGCATCCGAGAGAGAACCACGGAATCACTGAAGCCTCTCACGAGCCCACGCGCTCCGCCCAGCCACACTCGCCGCTTCCTCGGCGCCTCTACACTCTCAGCTCAGATCTCACCCTTGTGAGGCCTCCTCTGACCACCCTGACAAAACATAGCACGCTCTCCCTCTGCCACACACCCTTTCACCCACCCTCGTTTTGCCCATACCATTTGTCACCAGCTGATAGAACACTTCACATTTTATTTACTGCTTACTGTCTTCTGCACCGAGGACAGAATTCATGTGGGGAGGCATGTGTGTTTGCTTTGTTCACACCTCTGTCACTGGCATCTAGAACATAATCTGGCAGAGAAGAGGTTCCAGAACTTTTCTGGAATGGATGAGTAATCTTGTGTGAGAACAAACAGCCAAGAAGCACTTAACCTACAGAAGGTCAGGTGATGAAGTGAGTAAGAGTGTAAGTTCTGGAACCAACCTGTATGAGCTGGAATCCTGGCTCTGCCCCTTTCTATGTGAGCAACCCGGGACATTTCCAGTCATTTACTTTTAAAATGAGGCCACTAATGATACTTCATGTGACTATTGTGACGATTACATAAATTAGTACAAACAAGCACTCCGGAAATGTGTGCTACTGTTGTTATTCATTCATTCCACAAGTACTAAATGAGCACCTTCCATGGGACAGGCACTGCGCTCAGCATCCAGAATACAACTGATATGTAAGAACAGGCAAAGCCCTGCCTTCATGGAGCTCACCGCAGCCTCCAACCTCATCTCCCCCTCACAGATTCACTCTAGCTACTCTGGCCTCCTTGATATTGTTTGGACAGACCAAACATATCCCAATCTCAGGGGTCCTGCAGTGTCCCCCAGGACTAGCTTCCTCACATACTTCAGGTTGCATGTCCCTCTCTGAAAGAACCTCCCTGACCACCCTAAGTGGAAAAGCCTTAACCTCCCAGCTCTGATGTCATTCCCTGTCTCCTGTTTTAGTTTTTCTTCTCAGACGTCTATCATCAGCAGGTACATATGGATTTGCTCATGATCTGCTCTCCCAACTTGAGGGGAAGAGTATTTATTTGCACAGGCAAGATCCTGGTACACAGTAGGCCCTCAATAAAAATTTGCTGGATGGATAGACAGTGAAATGGAGGAGATAGCCTTATGCAAATAAACACTCAAAAGTGAAGACACTGCCCTGGGAAAAGTGTTTTGAAGATGATGCACACTGTGTTACCCAACCTTGTAAAAGGGTTGTCTGCCCTATTCAGAAACCTCAAAGACAGCACCACAAAGCAAGAGATACTGGTCTGTTCCACCTTTAATTATCACACTAAATAAATCTTGTAGCCCTTCTTAAAATCTGATTTGAGGTAACATTTCTATTAGCAACAACTACACAAGGAATTGTTAAGCATACTTTACATAAAGATGCTAGCTACAAGCAAGAACTTAAAAATAGTAAATATCTGTAAAGGAACAAAAATAAATTTATTTTTATTAGATTGGGTTTTGAAAATACAAAGAATTTAATCACTATGTATTTTAACAACTTCAATTTAGGTGAAAATGATAGACATAGTCTAAAATCATAGAATGAGAAGGTGGTCTATACAACGTCCTCTTTTTATAATATGGTGCTCAAAGATATCCAGATCTGTGGGTAAACATTTATAGCTGGTTAATAATGGAATCAGGAAGAGAATCTAAATCTTTAAACCCTGCTGCTTTATTTCACCATGCAAAGATGTCTCGGATTAAAATGTTATGTAACCTATTTCAAGTAACCTCATCATACCATGTATATCTTGAAAGATTTCCATCCCTCTCCTATGGTTAGTATATTCTTGGCAGAATTTATGTTTCTGGCACTTAAAGCAAACAGACATGAGCGAGAGGGAGACGTGACACTTACCTGAGCCTGAGTGTGTTCAACTGGAGGTGACAAAGGCAGTGGAGCCTTCAGCTCCTGGACACAGCTCTCTAGGAGGGTGGCATCTGCAATACTGCAAAGAAGAGAAAAAATAAAAAAAGAAACCTCTCCAGATGAGGAGTATGCTGCTTATTAAAAATTAATAAATTAGTATTTGAAGTTTGAATATAACCTTGAATAGAATTTAAGAGAAAAGATCTTTACAGAGAACAAATTGATGGCTGCCAGAGGGAACGTGGGTGGGGGTGTTGGGGAAGGGGAGTGGGAGATAGAGGTCTCCAGTTATGGAATGAGTAAGTCATGGGAATAAAAGGCACAGCATAAGGAATACAGTCAATGATACTGTAACAGCGATGTAACAGGACAGATGGTAGCTCTGCTTGTGGTGAACAGAGCATAACACATAAATCTGTCGAATAATGAAGATGCACACCTGAAAGTAATGTGACACTGTGTGTCAACTATACTCAAATAGAAAGTAAAAACAAAAAAAAGATTTTCATAAAGACAATAAATGTATACACAAAAAGGTATCCTATAATATTTTAGAACAAAGGAAAAGATCTTGTCCAATAAACATGGGAAGCAAAAAAAATCTAATGAAAAGCAGAATAAAATATAATGAAGCTCTTTCAGAAGGAAAGCAAACAAAAAAAACCGTGGTGGTTAGTTTCCTCTGTAAAATAGGAAAAATACTTGCTAGGAAATAAATTCTGATTTAGAAAGTAAAAAACAAAACGATGCAAAACAAACAGGAAAATTGTTTTAAGTCAGGAATAAAGAACAGGTACAGAATATGACAAGCCTTTGCCATAAAAGATCCTTTAATAGCTCTGTGGCCTCAATTTCACAGCAGACTCTTCGCTGACTCTTGAGAAGCCAGAGGATTCCTAAAGCTCCATTTTGATTGTTCTCGAGGCAGGAAAACATCCACAGGGAAAAGGCAATCGACTAGTGGGTTCCTTTTCCAACTCTAGTAGGTCTCACAGTAGAAAGATGACAAGGAAATATGAACAAACTCACACACCACGGCTTATTATAAATGGTAAACGAGTAATGAAAAGTGAGATGAAACAAAGGATATTTCTTTCTTTTTAGAGTTTTCTTAATATCCTGAAAAGAAAAAGAAGGCACTGTGATTTGGCAAAGAAGAAGAAGAAATTTCATACAGCGAATGTTCACAGGCAGAGAAATGCAAACGACTAAGTGGTCAACAGGAGGAGGTACACTGGCTATCTGGATGTGGGAAGAAAGAAAAGGAACAGTTACTATAAAGAAAGAGTGTCCCAGACATCATCACTTAATCCTCACACTAACCCCACTAAACAGATGTTATTAATGACACCCCAGAGATTATAATAACTTCCCCAAGACTACAATGCTAGGGAGCGAATGAACTATAATCAGACCTTAAGTCAGGCTGATTAAGGATCTACAGCCTTTTTTACTATACCATATAACCAATATGATCATCCAAAGGTCCTGCCATATAAGCTCATTAATATAGCTAAATGAAAGAACAAAATCATGATTTCCTAAATTTTATCAGAGTACTTTCTAATAAAAGAGTTTAATCTCCAATAATGAAAAAAACTCCAAATGAATTTAAACCATGATTTTCAACCCATGGCCACGATTCTGATACAACCCTAAGGAGAAAAATCCCTGATCTCTTTCACTTCCATTTAGAATGGCCAAGTGTGATGGAGGACAAATAAGGTTTAGAACCTCTGAATTATTAAAAAAAAAAAAAAATCAGGAAGGTGGGAGTGCGTAATAGTCGACATAACAAACCAATATGAATGCTGTAATAGATCCAAACTAAAACTGTCAAGACAATTCTGGCAAAAGCAGAAACCTGCAATCTAATGAGCCAAAAAAAAGTAAAGATAAATTCCCAGGACACATGAAGTCTTACACCAAGTCATGAGCAGAGCTGGTATCAATTCATCTCTGCCACCCCGCCCGTCTTACCTGCAGAGAAGCTCTACGAGCCGGGCTTGCCGGAAAGCACGGGCAGTGTCTCCGGGAGCGAACGCCAAGAGGCCGTCCAGCAGGCCGCACACGGCTGACAGGAGAGGTGGAGTGACCACACACTGCCTGGGCAGAGGGGCAGGAAGGGATGCGCCACGAGGAAGCTGTGCTGATGTAGTTTCATGCTGACCCATTACTGAAAATAAGCATAAAGATTATCATGATTTTGTTCACTTTGTGCTTATGTACAATATTCACAAGTTCTGATATTCGGAGGAAAGTCCCTGAAAGTGCCAAAGGAGAGATGGTTGGGGAATTTCCTTAGTGCCAGACTCATCTCCACCCTGAGGCCAAGGAAGCAGCCATCCAACTCCTCCACTCTGTGTGAGTGTGTGTGTGTGTGTGTGTGTCTGCCTTTGGTGACAGTATAAGAGCCAAGACAAGAAGGGCAGCGCACGTTTTCTGCCTTCGAGCATTCAGACACCGAGGAACAAACAGACGGTCTACAACTCTTTTTCTAAAGCTCTAGGGGCCAGAAGTGCTTTAGAATTCAAAATATTTTAGATTTTAGAAAAACAGCATGATACATGAACCCTACATTAACTCACACCTTCAGTGGGATCTTGGGAAACACCCCACGAGGAAGTAAGTATTTCCATAGAGTGACACATGTGCAATCACAGTAAGCAGGATGCAGAAAGGAAGAAAGACCACCTCAAATCAATACTGCTCAGGTTCCGCAGCAACAGTACTCAGGTACAGGCAAGTTTTACACCAAGTGAGTTCTGAGAAAACTTTCAAGGTTTCAGAGATTCTGGATTTTAAGAACTGAAGATATGAGACTGTGGACCTTTCCCAGAAAACTCAACAAGGGATTGTTAATAAGAAAGCTATCTTTGTTAATCTGCCTCAAGACTTTCCCTCATGACCCTCACTTATTTCTTTTTTAAAAAAACATACTTTGAATAAATTCAGACTTACAGAAAGTACAAGAGTACAAAGAATTCCCATATACCTTGGCCCAGATCCCTATATATTAACGTTTTACCACATTTTATCTACCTATATACCTATCTTCTTATGAACTGCTTGTAAGTTGCAAATGCCCCTTCGGCCCTAAATTATTTCCTAAACAAACTTTGTCTTTTATAATCACAGTACAATTAGCAAACAGAAAATCAATATGACACAGTGGTAGCCTCTAATCTATAGACCTTTTCCAAATTTGGCATATTGTCACACTAATGTCCTTTGTAGCTCCAGAGTTCTTGTTTGGATCCGATTCAGGATCACACCTTGCATTTAGCTGTCATGTCTCTTTGGGTTCTAAACTGGAAGATTTCCTCAGACTTGCTTTGTCTTTCAGGGCCTTGACATTTTGCAAAGAGCACAGGCCAGTTACTTTGTAGAACATCTGATGTTTGGTGTTTCCTCATGAGTAGAGATTCAGTGCATCCCAGCGGGAAAAGCATGAAAAGTTTAATTTTTCCTTTGTAATAAACTAATTCCTTCGGGGGAAGAATTAGTACTATATAACTTCGGGACTATGTAACATCAAGAAAGACCTGACATTTTAAACTAAATAAAGTTTGGAAAAGTAAATTTAGGTAATTCCACAGAAACAGTTCAATTGATTTTAAGGGAAAAATTTAAATATTCAGAAGATATGTATTCCACGTTTTCAGCATTTTTAGGCCAAGTATACAGAAGAAGATCAATAAAAGGGGAGGGCACAGAGGTTAAGAAATTCAAACTCATCTAATATATTTAAATAAACTTTTATATTTTATCTAGAGAAAATTATCCTAGTTATTTATGTTAGTAGTACTCAAATACACGAACGTTTTTATTTTTTAATGATTCCTTTCACCTTTGTATATCAAATGTAAGCTTACAGATCAAAAGAGATCCTGTTAGGTTTTTTTTTTTAATAAAATAATTTTTCTTTTACGGAAGTTAGAAACTAAATTTAAAAATGTAAAGTTGGATGTCTAAAGTGGCCCTAATGTACACGTTAGAGAAAAATTTTTTCATTCTGTCCTAAATCACTTTGGAGCATATTAATTCCCTGGTTAATTAAGAATTAGCAAAACAACAAATAAAAGGACTAACCAGCTTCACTGGCAAATCCTGCTAGATGTTCTAGCTGAGGAACTAAAATCTCGTTATCACCAAAAAAAAAAAAATCACATTTTATCTTAATACTATTTTAAAGAGATTCAAGAAGATACCGAACAACAAAATAACTGCTCTAGTATTTGGCTCACACACAATATATATTCAATGCTTTGCAGCACTGTTCAGTGGCAGATTCAACAAAAAGGACTAAGAAGCTCTTTTGTCAAATATACATGCTTAAGTGATTGGTAACCAGTAAAACTGTGCATGAATACACATTCTAAGCACAATCCTTGAAAATAAAATAAATCCAAATCAAGAATAATGCAACAAAAAACAAAACAAAAAAGCCCACATAACTGTATGTCCACACAAAAACCTGTACATGAATGTCCGTAGAGGTATTATTCATGATAGCCAAAACGTGAAAAATCCGAATGTCCATCAAATGATGAATGGGTAAATAAAATGTGGTCTATCCATACAGTGGAATATTTTTAGCAATAAAAAGAAATTAAGTACTGACACATAATACAACATGGATCAACCGTGAAAACATTATGCTAAGTGGAAAAAAAAAAACAGTCACAGAAAAACACATACTATATGATTGCTTTTTTATGAAGTTTCCATAACAGGCAAATCTATAAAGAAGGAAAGTAGATTAACTCTGGCCTAGGACTGGGAAGGATCAAAAGAGATGAGGAGTGATTGCTAATGGCGAGGTTTCTTTTTGGGGCGATGAAAATGAAAATGTTCTAAAATTAATTGTGGTGATCCTTGCACAGCTCTGTGAATAGACTCACAACCAATGAATTCACTTTTTTTTTTTTTAAAGATTTTTTTTATTTATTTATTTGAGACAGAGAGAATGAGAGACAGAGAGCATGAGAGGGAGGAGGGTCAGAGGGAGAAGCAGACTCCCTGCCTAGCAGGGAGCCCGATGCGGGACTCGATCCCGGGACTCCAGGATCTTGACCTGAGCCGAAGGCAGTCGCTTAACCAACTGAGCCACCCAGGCGCCCGAATTCACTTATTAAATGGGTGACTGTATGATATGTAAATTATTCTCAATGAAGTTATTAAAAAAGAGTAATGCAACATACTTTTAGAGATAAATGTTCATGAAATTCATTATCAAATTTCATTTCATCCTCTGTGTCCTCAACTATTTAAACAATGTGAGTTTGCTCCTTTTATTCTCTAGAGGATCAAATAAGTACTTTCTACAATTAAACACTTTTTTATATTGTTAACATATATTACTAAAAAAACAAAATGGGACATTGTTTAGGAAGTTAGGGAACAAACACTGTAATAAAAATTCAGAGTAAAGTCTTCATTAAGCAATTATTTCTGAAGTTTTAGAAAACCTTTTCCCTGCTGATGCTTATACTTCAGTGTTTAAAATTCTTCTTTTTTAGGTAGCATATTGCTTACAAGTGATGAATTTAATGCTACTGAATAAAGGCCTGTACATTCTCTAGGACAAACAAAAGCTAAGTTGTAATCTTCCAAACATATAAAGGTTGAAGCATAATAGCGTTGGAAGCAGTCCCTAATACAAAGAATAGAATTTATATATTGCCATTAATAAAAATAAATCCCAGGCTACTCATCAAGCATTTTTTTTATTTTATTATGTTCTGTTAATCACCATACATTACATCATTAGTTTTTGATGTAGTGTTCCATGATTCACTGGGTGTTATACACAAACAATGAATCATCAAGCATTTCTAATAAAGATGCAACACATTTTGTAGACTTTAAAATAGAAGTACTTCCCTTGAAAAATACCTATGACCAGATTCTCTCCACTTTCAAGTGGACTACTGTGGTAAACTGAAGTGTTTTCCCTAAAGAAGGAGAAAAATGAAGGTAACTAATATCTATTAATTCCCCAGTTCAAACACTAAATATCTACACTTAATAAGAAACCATATGGCAATCAGACAACTACATTCCATTTATTAGTTAAGGGCATTTGTTTTGTTAATTTCTGATATATTTATTCTATCATGTTCCAGTCCACTTCATTTTGTTCTTATCTAGACATTCACTGTGTCTTGTGACTTATTTAATTTTGTTCTTATGTAGACATTTATTTCAAAATATCCTGACGGACTTGTCATTTTTCTTTTCGAAAGCAGAATGTCTTCCTAAAAGGGTACCTTGAGCCACCAACTGGTCGTGTGAGGCTTCAGGGAGAGACACTGCTGAGGGCCCAAGTGGTAGAAATTCAGCACTCCCCGACGAAGGTGCCACCTATCAAGGGGCAGAGAAAATTATTTTATTCTTAACATTCATTCATTAATGTTATCACATGGAAACTGAAACAGAAGCAATACGTACACAAAATAACCTTAAACAAGAAGGTTAATAACAAAACTACACTAGATCATATGACTGGAAAACATTCCATATCTTGAGAGTTGTAGGTTTTTTGAATGGCACTTTCCTGCTTCTTACAAGACCTGCTGGGATTTATGTAAATCAGTAACTCAAAGTAGCAAAGTTTTGATTTGAAGCCCATTTCGGATTTTAAGGTCTGGATATGGCTCATACCCACTTATTGCCCAAATGTTAAAAAGCTAAATCATGCTCCTTTAACTTTTGCATGATTCACCGTCCCTGAGATAGTCTGCCCTACTTGACTCATAGTAAGAGGGGTTCTTCTTATCAGTTTCAAATGGCACACACAAATTTTAATAGTGCCTAAGAAAAAAGTCAACAGAAATATTAATAGATTTTTCTCTACCTTTCCCCATATCACAAAAGAACCGTTTCAGGCAGTATGTTAACACTGTGTTTCAGAATACAGTATTTTTTAAAACATTAAACATAACATAAATTCTGTAGAAGACAAACACAATTTCACCTATAGGTTTACAGATGAGCAGACTATGCAGCCTCCTAAAATGGAAAAAGTTCAAACTGATGTATCTGGCCCCTTCTATGTGAAAAATACCTTATCTGGAGAGGTCAGATCCCTCTTTTTCTTACCATCAATTTATTTTCTCTGAAATAGCCTGAACTTCCCAAACCTGGATAATCTCCATGTCAGCACATGCATACAGTATGAGCTGTCACTAGAACTTATGAATCAACCCTACCTCAAACTCAGATACCATACAGCTCAGAACTTGTATATTGATTGTGTATTTATCTTAACATATAAAGTAGGATACCTTATTAGACTTGATATGATAGAATAAAAGCAAAAACCAAGGGTATTTTTGTTTTCAGTTTCTGTTAGTAAAGAGAATATAAATCTGAAGAAAATGGTAGATGGAATTTATATAGTTTTTAAAATACCCCTTTCAACTTAAGACTTTAATCATCTCTCACTACTTCAAGTATGACATTACAATAACAAATAAATAACAGAAAGCTGTAGCCAACAAATGTAAGCCAAGCACATAAAGTCATCTAAATAAGTAAACCTGGATAAATTTCAGTCTAAATAAACACTCATAAATAATCATATATTAAATACCTTATTTTATCTAATATTAGATCCAGATAATAGGAAAAAACCTAAAATTTATTTTTCTTTTTTTTTAATATTTTATTTATTTATTTGATGAGAGAGAGACACAGCGAGAAGGGGAACACAAGCAGGGGAAGTGGGAGAGGGAGAAGCAGGCTTCCCACCGAGCAGGGAGCCCGATGCGGGGCTTGATCCCAGGACCCTGGGATCATGACCTGAGCCGAAGGCAGGCGCTTAACGACTGAGCCACCCAGGTGCCCCTAAAATTTATTTTTCTAAAAATGTATTTACCTACAACTGGCTCTAAGAAAAAAAAAAAAAATCCCTGTCAACAGACATCCAAATAACTTTCACAGTCTGTGAAGATAACAACAACTGAGACTGATATCACAAAGACGATCTGGCACCGCCATAAGCCCCTTTGTTTGTATAATAAAATCTAAGAGGACAATGATGCTAGAATCCTTTACCTTTTCACTGAACACCCTTGTGTGTGCCATTTGAAACTTATAAAAGAACCGCTCCTATTATGAATCAAGTAGGGTAGGCTCTCTCAGGGACAGTGAATTACGCAAAAGTTAAAGGAGTATGTTTTGGCCTTTAAACATTTGGGCAGAAAGAGGGGACAGGCCATATCCAGTCCTCACTACTGACAAAAACAGAGGTAGCACTCAGTGCAGGAAAAAAAGATTTCTAAGGGCCCACGGAATACCTGGCTCATTAGAAGAAAGCCAAATCACAAGGTGTGACCAAAGGTCAGACATTAATAAAAGTTGTGATTTTCCTCAGTATAATCCAAGGAAGTGATACACAGATTTAGAAAATATGATTTTAGAAAGCACCTAACCTAAGAGCTGTATTATAACTTACCCTGTATGGTTGAGAAAACACAAAGACTTCTTTATATAGTAATACATTGTGTCTTAAAACTTGATTATGGGTGATTTATATTTCTACTAACCTATCTATATTTTTTAAATTTGCTATATTAGCACATTATTATTTTAACAAGACAAAAAAGTATTAAACTGAATAGCTCTGGTTCTATGCTCAAATCCTTGCTTGTTTGAAAATAATCTCCAATGGATATTTGATTATCTGTAATAATATAGATATCAATATGTAAATATGTTACTTGTTATCTTGAAATCCAAGTAACAACTAATCCATTTTAAAATTCAAGTATTAGCTTCTGGAAGGTGGAGGAGGTTCACATGAGCCCATAATGCCACAGGTAGAAAAGGCCTGATCTAGTCCAGATCCTCATTTAGAGATAAGGACTACAAGGTCACACTCTAATTAGGATTCTCAGTTGAGGACTACATTCATGACAGATCAATACACTCAGGTCAGAGGAAGTCCTCAGACAAACCTCCAGAATGCTGGCCAGCCAAGCGGAGCATGCTCAGTCACCTCTTCCCCCCACAGCGGAGAACACACCTTCTCATTTGCTCTCATAGTAGCCATAAAGCCCCAAGTGGGAGGCCAGGGCTGTCCTCATAACAGGGAGTCTGTCTAATTATTCTATCTGTCATTGCTCTGTTCATTAAAGTGACTTCAGTACAAAATCACAATCTAGACATTTTCCTCTTTCCTGTCTGCCACACGACACATCCTGAGATTTTCAATTTACATTTCCTTGATAAGACAAATAAAACTGAGTTTTCCTTGAATTGAAGTATATATACTTCTAGCCTTCTCACCTTACTGGTATTATAAGAGGCAATAAAAGCCTGTTAGTACAGATTAATTGGTGTTACTTAAAGCCACTGTCCTAAAACAGAATAAAATTTTGCTTGTAAAAACTAAAAAAATAATAACCTTTTCTTCAATGTGTTTATAAATAGATTTGATAGCTAAAGAAGCTTTCTAAATCATGCCTCATTGTAAAATAGGCAGTTACAATTTTAAAAGAGTCCCTTTGAAGTAACAGAAAATAGAAAAGTTGTTTACCGTATCAAAGTAGAATTTGGGTTTAAAAAAAGACAGACAATTTCTGTCATACAAACAAAATGCATCTATGTTCAAAACTATTTTCTTTGTATTCTGCCCTACAGAAATGAAAGTGTTCACTGGATACTTCAAAGTTTTTTGAAAGCTAATTTAGGACTTGAGTATTTTACTTGTCAAGTAATTTTATAATATTTTCTGTATCTTCTTTCATCAAAAGTAGACTGGCTCCCAAGTAAGTCATTTGGTTTTTAAAAAATTAAAAGAGAACAAAGGAAGAAAATGAGGATCTGTGAGATGAAAAAGACAGGGTACAAATCAACTCACATTTTTTTTTTCAAATGTTTTTTATTTATTTATTCATGAGAGTCAGAGAGAGAGAGAGAGAGGCAGAGGCAGAGGGAGAAGGAGACTCCCCGCCTAGCAGGGAGCCCGATGTGGGACTCGATCCCAGGACCCTGGGATCATGACCTGAGCCGAAGGCAGACGCTTAACCATCTGAGCCACACAGGCGCCCCTCAACTCACATTTTTAAAACATGGCAAAAATCAAAGTATGGAAGTTTCTAAGGAACTCCAGGTTTCATGTGTTCAGTACTATAGATGATACCTGTCTCTATGTCCAACAGCAGAAAAGCTCTGGCATGCTTCACAATTTGTAATCATTAATTCTCACCAAATTATAACAAGAACTTTAATCACTTCGACTATACAGATCCATGATTCAAATGGATTGTGTATAATACAAAAAAAAAGGAAGCTCAGAGAAATATCAGTGAAGGAATGAGCATAAGATGATATAAGATTGTTGCCTAACTATAAGATCACTCACTCGCATGCAGAGACTTAACCCTCGGAGATAATCACGATCCCTATGCCCTACTGTATATAATTTAAGAGAACAAGTTTCCTAGAGCTTGTCATCCTATTCCGTTCTCCATTAGCTTTGTAACCCTACGCCAAATACTTGAATTCTCGAAGACACCGCTTCTTCGCTCATGAAAGGGTACCATTCTCAAATGGTATAGATTTAACACCGTAACCCATCTGTGGACCTCCAGCAAACAGCAAACTAGAGGCTATTGTCACCTGAGCTCTAAAGGCCCAAAGTTGACTCAACACATATATCAAAACTAACTACATAAAATAACCACTTTAACCAAAATTAAGGAAATATATTTTAGTGCAAATATAAAATAACACCCAACCCTATTTTACTTATTTCAGTTACAGTTACCTGCTTAATAAAGTTGCTAAAATCGATCTCAAAACGTTTTTGCCAATTTCTTTAAATGTTTGCACTCAACAGTAACGGCTATACCTCTACAGTAACTTAGTCTGGATAACTTCAAACACACCAAAGTGAATACAAAATACAGAAAAAAACACAAATATTTGCTCTTTCTAACAATTTTTAAAAGAATATTTATAAAACAGTACAGGCTATGTACACAGAATGGAATGAATACTCTATTTTCACTAGCCATTATATTCATTCTAATGTCACATAGAAAAAAAATGATAGTAGAATAAACTGATATGGAGGTATTATTAACCATCAATATCTAAGTCTTATTAAAACAATCAATATTAGGAGCGCCTGGGTGGCTCAGTCAATTGAGCATCTTGACTCTTGATTTTTGACTCAGGTCATGATCTCATGGGTCAAGCCTGGCGTCAGGCTTCGCGCTCAGCGGGGAATCTGCTTCTCTCTCTTACTCCCTCTGCCTCTGCTCCTCCCCCTGCTTATGCACGCGCTCTCTCTCTCTAAAATAAATAAATATACCTTTTAAAAAGAATCAATATTAAATTTTTATTCAAAAAAAAAAAAAAAACCACCAGCCACACAACAAACTTATTTTCATTGTATTACAGTCCTGTGGCCTATATTACTAACACTTAGGAACTAGAATCTCACTTATATTTTCTTTCTAACTAAAATATACAGGTTCTTAGATCCTGGGTAATCCACAGGTGGTTGAAATTTATTTAAACAAAGTATATCATTCTCTTTCTCTCCCCATCATGCAAACTGCTGTCTCCCCACGTTTTCCTGGGGTCATTGCACTGGATGTATGTACCTACTCTTTCACTAATCCCTACGTCAAAATGATTTTTCTTCTAAAACGCTACTTTGATTCATCCCTGCTTTAACTGTCCTTGGTCTACGTTTCGTTCTATAAAACTCATAACTACCATCACACAAATACCAATACGTATTTTTCTATAATGTCAACTGTAATGTTTCGTGCATTTTACTCAGCTGAAATATCTTTATATCTGTATCTTTATAGCTATTATATCTTACCTCTTCAAACCCAAAAACAGATTTAGCTCTCTTAGCTAACCCCTATCTGGTAATTAAACTTTAGCCTTTGTTCCACACTCCAAACAAACCAGGCATTCTCTGAGTATCTAATGCTTTTAGTACCACACAACCACGCATGCAATTATTTTCACATTGTGCTTCATGTTCCTGACTAGAATTTCAACTCTTGTCAGAGAGTACTGAATCGTAAGACATATCTGAATATCTTTTCGGCTCCCTGCAAATGTGTGCATACATCTAAGAAAGATTAATCCTTTAAAGCTCATTTCAATTGACACTTCTTATACAAAATCACTTTCTATTTCATCATACTCTCTAATGTAACCTCACTGCACCTTGACTATGACATCTACTATGGCACCTATCACATCTGGCTTTGTTGTGAAGGAGCAGAACGTCACGGTCAACAACCTGGGCTCTAGAGCCAAACATACTTCTGGATTCAAATAATGCTCTTATCAGTTACCAGCACTGGAACCTTGAACAAGACACTTATTCATTGCATGCCTAATCTCTTCTTTTGTAAAATAGCAATAGTAAAAATCCCATGAGTAATTTCTCTTTAAATGTTTAAATAAACTAAAATAAAATCAGTTTTATTTAAACTAGTGCTCCCAAAGTTCCAAAGAATCACATATTTCACAAAGAAAAGCTCAAAAGGAAAGAAGCCACATCTCCTTTGACAACTGATAAAACAGATTCAAAAAATACAGACATAATTCTGCTCCATAGCAGTAAAAAAAACCCAAAAACACGTATTTTGGTTAGAAAACTCTTGTTGCATACCGGTGTATACTAGGCGTAAGTACCCATCTAGTGTGGATATTTCTAAGAAGTAGAGATGAGATTTCAGGAGGAAAACCAACCAATGCCTGACCCCTCCTACCTGGGAGGAGACACTGAGCTGGATAGAATTCATCTCTGAAAAGACGGTTACTTAGAAGGGCAATGCACCAACATGAAAATGACACTCTTTACCCTCTAATTTATGAACACACATGTCCCAATCGCTACAAAGTTTGCCAAACAAATGAACTAATACATTCATTAGATAACACCATGAAAGTCCCTAATGTGGCATTAACTGCACAGAATGGATAAGAACCAGTGACAGCACACGAGATGATATGACCCAAATCAAAAGACAGTGCTTTCCTTAGAAAGACAAAATGGAAAAACCAATAAAATAATTGCATCTTTTCTCATATCTGGGAAATACACAAAATAATGATATAAATTACCAGATACACTTATTTGCAAAATTTAAATCCACTGAACTGATACCTCAATTTGTAACTTATACTTAAGAAATTATTAGCTGGTCTACGGGGCGCCTGGGTGGCCCAGTCGTTAAGCGTCTGTCTTTGGCTCAGGTCATGATCCCAGGGTCCTGGGATCGAGCCCCACATCAGGCTGCCTGCTCCGCAGGAAGCCTGCTTCTCCCTCTCCCACTCCCCCTGCTTGTGTTCACTCTCTCGCTGTCTCTCTCCATCAAATAAATAAATAAAATCTTAAAAAAAAAAAAAATTATTAGCTGGTCTAGGTATGACAGCTTAGGTTTAAAGTAATACTAGTATATGGGCACCTGGGTGGCTTAGTTGGTTAAGTGTCTGACTCTTAATTCCAGCTCAGGTCATGATCTTGGGGTTGTGGGATGGAGCCCCGTGTCAGGCTCTGTGCTCAGTGCAGTCTGTTGAGGTTTCTCCCTCTCTCTCTGCCCTTCCCTCCCAAGCACTCCCCCCAAAAATAAATAAATAAATCTTTAAAAATAAATAAATAAATACTGATATAATGAATAAATTCTCCAAATTTATTTTTCCTGTTGGAACAAAAACATACAGTATCTCGCATGGCAAGAAAAACATGACAGTTAGCAAAATTTGGTAATGAGACTACTTCTGTGAATAAAAGTCACCAATCTGGTGAGTAAGTCACCAATACCAAAGCTCTTCTATTTGGAATCCAAAAGAAGAAAAGGAAGAATTGACTGATAGATAATTATCTCTTGAGAAACTACACAAAATCAATCTCACATAGAGCTATAATAAGATTTCTTAAAAAAAAAAGATTTCATTGGTATATATTTCTAAAAGAATATGTAACATCCAAACACAAGTTAAAGAGTCTTATGCTAATAGAGGTGCTTCTATTTTAATAATGATTACAATAAATAATGTATTTCTAAGATTTTCCTCAGAAAATCTAGTATCTTGATCTATATTTGTTATTATTAAAATATATATTACTATATATGATATACATATTATTATCATTCTCTTATCAAATACAGAAATGCAAAAGTACTTAAGTATTCTTGCATAGGATAAATACAACTTGGTATCTACAAAACAGCTAAGATGACTCAAAGTTAATTAGAGCAATTGCTACTTACTGAGTACCTACTATAAGCAAAGAACTGAAGAATGTACAAATTTCAAGGTTAGTCTACAGATAGCCCTTTCAATAAACAGGGAAGCCTAAGAATTACTTTTAAGCACATATTAATGCTGCCCTTCTGTGAATTAAATAACTAATACAGCTCTTTTTTGCATTTAATCATATTATTTCTCTTGTTGAGACGAAGATACATACTATTTCTAGCATGGAAAGGAAAGCATGACATCTAGTGGAACTGGGGTAATTACCCTACTTTTCCAAATAAAGGTTCAATGCAGCACTAACCACAAACTCTTCTGAGTCTAGGGATAAAAAATAACTCCTAAAACTGCAGCAAAAAGTACCAGTGCTGAGAAACTACAGGAAGTGAATCTTATTATTGCCTTATAATTATTTATTATTCTCATATTATTTTTGCTCCTGTAGCAGGAGGGCCAAGCCTTTGCCTTCCTGATAGGGTCTACGACACAGTAACTGTTCCAAAAACACTCTAGGATGCAATGTAATGTTTCCCAATTGAGAGGAAATGATTTCATATGCTTGTAAAACAAGTGAAACCTAGTATCAGTCATATTTAGAAATACTAAGTGTGTCTCAAACTTTTTAGAACAAAGCAACTTATGAATGAAAAGAAAAAGGAAGGCAGGCAGGCATAAATTTCTGGTATTTCAGATAATCAAAACAAGCGTCTATCTGTTGCAAATATTTAGAAAAAAGCTTAAAACCTCCACTACCAAACTGGAATCATTTGAATGGGTCCACTTTCTCCAAATTGCTTTGCCCTTAAGCAAAACTGCATGGTATTCAAGCATTATTATCAGATGGGATCTATTCTATTACTACTGATAAACATTTTTAAACTTTTATGCTTCTGGTTCTATCAAATAAGGTATAAGAAAGGTTGTAAATTCATCTAAAAGGACATTCAGTATAGCTATATGACTACATCACACCCTAGTTCTACACAGACAGCAGTTCAAAAAAATCACGGCTGTCAGGCGCCTGGCTGGCTCAGTCAGTGGAGCATGCGACTCTCGATCTCAGGGTTGTGGGTCTGAGCCCCATGCTGGCTACAGAGATTACTTAAAAAAAATAAGCAAATAAAAAATTTCAAAAAAAATAAACAAGTAAATCACAGCTACTTTAATCATAACCTTATACTTTTTATACCGTCTTATTGTCCACTATGTAAATTCAAATCTTTTCAGAGATTCAAAATAAAGCACTTATGCATTCTTTAGAAGTACCATTGTTTCCAAGGTGGAGAGAGAACTTGAATCTTGATCTTGATTGGACATCCTAGATGGAGCCCTCCAAAACTTGAATGAGTCATCTAAACCTGTGACAACAGGAAAACTATCAATATGAATACAGTCTCCTGGGTACTGGAACATTTAACAGAAAGAATACTTGTTATAGGAAACCAATCAAGAACTTGTTACAGGAAACCAACCAAGAAGTAAGGAAAAAAGTTTGCTTAATTGTTATTATTCTTAATTAATTTATGTATAAAGCTTGTTTCACAAAAATTTTAATGACAATTAGTGGAGTTTGCTTACCTAAATCTAATACAATTTATCAAGACCACCAGCTCCCAAACTTTAATGTGCCTAAGAATCATAAAGCGTTTGTTAAAGCAATTTCCTGGGTCCTATTCCCAGAGATTCTACTCCCCCAAATCAGGGTGGGAGCCATAATTTTGCATTTAACAAGTTCACAAAAGATTTCAATGATGTTGGTTCAAGGGCCATGCTTCGAGTAACACTGATCCAGAGAAATCCAAACAATGAAATGGGTCACTTTCCTAATAAGGGCATTTATTTAAATTTTCAGAAATTTCTGGGGTGCCTGGATGGCTCAGTTGGTTAAGCATCTGACTCTGATTTCAGGTCAGGTCATGATCTCAGGGTTAGGAAATGAAGCCCCACATCAGGGTCCATACTGCGTGCAGAGCTTGCTTAAGATTCTCTTCCCCTCTCCCGCTACCCCTCCCTCCACCCCATCTCTCGCTCTCTTCCTCTTTAAAAAAAAAAAAAAAATGTTCAAAACCTTCATCAAATGTCATTTTCCTCTTATTTCCTCCAAGAATTGAGCAGAAAAATGAATTAGAAATTCACATTTAAGTCTGGGAGTAAAGGAACTATGTCTGCAATTCACTCTTAGAATAGCTCAGAAAAGAAAAAATATATATATATGTATATATATATAAGAAAAAAACATATATATGTATATATATGTAAAATAAATAAATTTTATTTATACACACATACATATACATACACATGGCGTAGGGGAACAAATGCAGTAAAATGTTAACATTTGAGAATGTTCTTGCATTCTTGCATCTTTTCTATAAGTGTGAAATTATGTCAAGATTTTCTTTTTTTTTTTTTTTTTTAAAGATTTATTTACTTGACAGAGAGACACAAGGAGAGAGGGAACACAAGCAGGGGGAGTGGGAGAGGGAGAAGCAGGCTTCCCGCGGAGCAGGGAGCCCGATGTGGGGCTCGATCCCAGGACCCTGGGATCATGACCTGAGCCGAAGGCAGACGCTTAACGACTGAGCCACCCAGGCGCCCCATGTAAAGATTTTCAAAAATTACTATTAAAAATTAATTTTAAAATAAAACTTATTTTTTAAATCATTAAGTTATTTATTATTATGAGACAAAAGTATTTATATGTGCTAAGATCATAGGAAATCCAAAAGAATCTATAAATAGAAACAAAAAGGTTTCAGCAAGATGTTTTGAGAAATTAGTACCATACCAAAAACAAATAGCTTTTTGATATATTAGCACGACAAATTAGAAAATTTAGTAGGAAAAGGTCTCATTCTCGACTGCCTAGGAAGAACCTTCCAAAAAGTTTAAAACATCTAATAGAGAAAAAAAACCCATAAAACTTTACTGAAGGGCATGGAATAACTTATAAAACATTAATAAGATGTCAAAATGGTTTCCATGAAGAATTTATAACACAGAAAAATGCTTAGGCAATGTTTAGTGGAAGGAAGGAACAAAAATGTACATAGATATGAACACAATCATGTAAAACAAACAAAAGCTATAGAGAGAAGACTGAAGAAAATCCACCCTGACATTAACAAAGGTCATGTCTGCGTAGTGGGGCCCAAAGAATAATGTTTTCCTGTGTACCTTCATTATTTTTCAAATATTTTGTAACAAACACATAGGTTTTCAACAGTTTATAAAAAGATTTCATAAAAATAATATAATGTACTTACCATTTAAATCGCTGCCTTCTGAAGTTCCATCAAGAGCAGAAAAATTCAAATCAAATGTATACCGTCCCAGGTAACAGTGTTTTACCATCTGATTCAGATGTTCATAAAAATGGCAGTGATATAAAAGAGCCTGAAGGGCAGGTTTTCCCGTGAGCGATAGGCCAGAATCCTCATCGTGGACACAGGGGCCCTGTAGGAAAAGAGGGAGAGAAAAATACAGACACACTGATTTATAACGTAATTTCTTCAAAAAGATCTGCTGTCTGCCCCACATTCCCCTCAATGAATCAAATGGGTCCCAGGTGCTACCATGATCCTTCCACCTGCCTCTGTCCCTCCATACTCGAAGCAACCTGACTTAGGGCAAATATTTCATAGTCCTCTAAGTTTTTGCTGCCTAAAAATCCTCTGAAGGCAGAAGGCTGCTCCGTTCTATCTCTTGAGGGATAAACATTAGCTTACAATGTTTCTATGAAATGGTACAGTTTTAACCAAGCAATTACATACTTGAGCCACAAATATAATAAAAGCAGTATTTTTCAACCTACACAGAATAAAATAAGTATTCAAATATCTGAAATAATGTGATCCAGTAATTATGTTCCAAATTATTTTTTGCACCTATCAATATGCCAGATAAAAATGAAAAGACTCATCGCCATCCAGGATAAAACTTGTTTGCCACACCACTTCTCACTGAATTAATCCTGCCAAAGCAAACACACAGGCATGCAAGCACGCACACACACTTTCCATCAGGAGGCTAAGAAGAGTCTGCCGTTACACAATTTTAATCTCACTACACTTTTTTCCAAACAATGTTTCTCACTGCCATTCACTCCTTTTCCTAGAATACCCAGTGGCAAAAATCAAGCACTCAGCATACGTTTACAGTTTGCAAATAATCCTGTCACTAGCTTATAATTATTTCTGTTTTTGGAAAATGATAAGGTTATGATTTTTAAAACAGACCATAAGAGAGAGAAAAATAAAAGAAAGAAAACAGAAATCTAAGTCCCACCAGGAAAGGTATGGTCAAAACATATTCAAAGTTTATCATTAACCGTGAGATTTATGTACGGGTCCTTTTTCTCATGTCTGCTCATTAGTAAGGAAACATGGATGTTAAAACTTACTATCCAGGAAGATAAAATAATTCACAAGTTAAAGGTATAATTAAAACAGTAAGATTATTTCCATTAATCTTTCTTTTTCAGGATATTATCATTATAATCAAACTTCTTATTTCATTATTAAATACCTTTTATGGTCATGGATTTGTTATTGTTGTATTCTAATAAACCTACCTAATACTGTGAGCTTACTCTTCATCAAGACAGCAATTTACAGGGCGCCTGGGTGGCTCAGTTGGTTAAGCTACTGCCTTTGGCTCAGGTCATGATCCTGGAGTCCCTGGATGGAGTCCTGCATCGGGCTCCCTGCTCGGCGGGGAGCCTGCTTCTCCCTCTGACCCTCCCCCCTCTCATGTGCTCTCTCTCTCTCATTCTCTTTGTCTCAAATAAATAAATAAAATCTTTAAAAAAAAAAAAAAAGGCAGCAATTTACATATTTAATAAGAAATAAGACTATTTAATGAGCAACCAGCACATGATGGTCCCTGCATAACTTTAAATTTTGAGGTCTAGAAGAAGCAGGTAAAACAGAGAAAAGTACAAGAACAAAGTCATATGGCTGTAAACCATGGTATATGTTTAGGGAATGTGGCCCTTTCATGCACTACCTTATTTAATTATCTGGAATGAAATAATTTATCCAAAACCACAGAGCCAATCCTAACATCCACAGCTTCAAACTCTTCTTTTAAGTAACTTGAAACATTCTAAATGTACAAAACATGTCAAATATATAGGAGACGCGCAATAGTTGCTTAACATCACAAATTAAAGCCCTCACTATAATAATTCAGAGAAGGAATTAACAACCAAGATGAGAATTATAAATAATTCAACTAAGTTTACTAGCTTAGCTCCAACTACTTAACAAACTTCAACAAACCAGTAAAATAAAATGATTAAACAAAGTAGGACAAATACTACCTTTCTAAATATATTTCATAATGATGCCCAGAACAATTTTTAAATTTTATTAGATTATATAAAATTTTTACTTTTGCAAAATCATACCTATATAATTACTTCCTCAGATGAGTTACACCACAGTCTAAAATTCATAAAGGTTTAACAAAAATAGGTGAAAGAATATAAGCTATATAAATCTCAAAAACAATCTTCAAGAGCTCTCATTAAATCTACTGGTTCTTTATTCTGTAAAGGTCTGCTGAGGCTGATGGTTATACCAACTGCTAGAAGGAAAGGTATTATAAACTCACTGTCTTCTAAAATCCATCTTTTCAGGGTGCCTGGGTGGCTCAGTTGGTTAAGTGTCTGACTCTTGATTTTGGCTCAGGTCATGATCTCAGGGTTGTGAGATCGAGCCCCGCATCAGAATCCACACTCAGTGGAGAGTATGTTTGTCCCTCTCCCTTTTGCTCCTCCCCCCGCTAATAAATAAAATCTTTTAAAAAATAATAAATAAATAAATAAAAGCCATCTTTTTTTCAGTTATAAGTATTTCCAAAGTAAATGAGAAATTATATATAAGTGATGCAGAACTATAATAGTTATTCTCTAAGTATATATAATTATCATAGTAATAAAGAATCATTAACATAATCACATTTACCCTTCAATTGGTATACAGATAGTCCCTGACTTACAATGGTTCACTCTACAGTTTTTCAACTTTATAATGGAGCAAAGTGATATGTGTTAAGTAAAAACCGTATTTCAAACTTTGAATTTTGATCTCTTCCTCAGCTGGTGATATGCAGTAACATATTTTCATGACGCTAGGCAGCAGTAACCAGCCGCAGCTCCTAGTCAGCCAGGGATCACAAGGGTAAATAACTGATAAAACTATTCTGTTTTTCATTTTCATTACAATATTCAATAAACTACAAGGATATTCAACACTTTATTATAAAAAAGGCTTTGTGTTAGATGATTTTGCCCGACTGCAGGCTAATGTAAGTGTTATGAGCACATTTAAGGTAGGCATGGCTAATCTGTGATATTCGATAGGTATATTAAATGCATTTTCAACTTACAGTATTTTCAATTTAACAGTGAGTTTAGTGGGACATAACCCGACTGTAAGTCAAGGAAGATCTATATTTTAAAAATTCATTTTTTCTCTAGTCCTTATGAATATAAAAAGAAAAGATTTAGAAAATAATGATAAAAAATAAGTCATAATAAAAGATGTAAATTTAAAATTCCATCTACTTAAAAAGGTTTTAGAACCTGTTTTTTGCGGGGGGTGCCTGGATGGCTCAGTCGGGAGAGTATACAACTCTTGATCTCGGGGTTGAGAGTTCGAGCCCCATGTTGGGTGTAGAAATTACTTAAATAAAAACTTAAAAAAAAAAAAAAAGGTGCACCTAGATGGATCAGTGAATTAAGTGTCAGACTCTTGGTTTCAGCTCAAGTCATGATCTCAGGGTGGTAGGATCGAGCCCTGTGTCAGGCTCCACACTCAGCACAGAGTCTGCTTAAGATTCTTTCTTCCCCCACTGCCTGAATACTCTCTCGCTCAAATAAATAAATAAATAAATAAATAAATAAATAAATAAAATCTTTAAAAAAAAGCCTGTTTTTTTTTTCTTTGCCTACAAATCAGTGAAAATTATTTCAGCCTACCAAGATTGAAGAAGTTAAATTAATTCTGATATGAACAAAAGGATTAGTATCCCAGAAAATAAAGACTAAGAGATAAAAATATAAAAGATAAGGAGATAAAAAGAAAATCAATTCAAGAGACTTAATATGGGACTCATGATATATGGAAAGATAGAACAAAGGAAAAAGAAAAATGATTTTTAAAATAAATAAATATGAGGGGTGCATGGGTAGCTCAGTCAGTTAAGCCTCTGACTCTTGATTTCTGCTCAGGTCATGATCTTAGGGTCCTGGGATTGAGCCCTGAGTCAGGCTCCATACTCAGCAAGGGGTCCACTTGAGGATTCTCTCTCTCCCTCTCCATCCGCCCCTCCCCCCACTTGTGCGCAAGCACGCGCACTTTCTGTCGCTAAAATAAATCAATCTTTAAAAAATAAAATAAATAAATATGAAAAAATGTGTCAGAGCCAAAAGATATAGAACATCTATGTCTTCAAATTAAGGAGCTTAATGAGTGTCAAGCAAGAGCAATGAAAAAAGATACATAACCATAAAATTCTAGGACCTCAAAGATAAAGAGAGGATGGATAGGGGTGCCTGGTGACTCAGTCATTGAGCATCTGCCTTCGGCCCAGGTCATGGTCCCAGGGTCCTGGAATCAAACCCCACATCGGGCTCCCTGCTCGACAGGAAGCCTTCTTCTCCCTCTCCCACTCCCCCTGCTTGTGTCCCCTCTCTTGCTGTCTCTGTCAAATAAATAAATAAAATCTTAAAAAAAAAAAGATAAAGAGATGATGATAAATGAAAAAGTTGGCCGTAAAGAGGTAAAAAAGCCAGATGGACATCCAACTTCTCATCGGCAGTATGGGATGTCAGAAGACAATGGAGCAAAATTCTTATGAAGAATGATTTCAACCTATCTGGTAACTACCTAAACTATGGAAGTACAATTGAAGTACAATTTAAATACATTTTCAAATATGCAAGAACTCATTAAGTTTATCATGCATGCACTTGTTTTTAGGTAGGAGTATGATTATTTGAAGATAATTTCTAGGATAAAGGATCCTAACTGAAAAGAAAGGATGACTAAGAGTTTAGAAAAACATTAGATACGATATAAACTCACAATTCAAAAAAAAATTAGATAGACAGAAACTCTATAGGAAAAAAAAAAATCACCTAAACCACTTTTTTAATGACACACACACACACACACACACACACCCCTATGTAGGTATACATACAATATATATAAATATCAGAAAATTTTTCTTCTGAGCACCAGAGAAATCACAGCCCTAGAAGCAGAGATAGAAAAGTATAACCACAGCCCAGTAAGTGGCTCTGTTGTAAATTACTAGTTTTCAATTTTTAGAATCAACTTATAGATAAATCAAGGCTGCGGAAGAGAATGTAAATGTCATCAACATTCACCAAGTAAAAGATAAAACTGACAAAGATTAGCAGAAGTGAAAGGATAGGAACATCT